GTTTACATTAATTCACACATGATCGTATGCGTGTGTGAGGAAACATTTTGACGCATACAGATTTTGAAGATAAAACCATAAGCAGATAGAGAGAAGCAGCTTTACTCTACGTTCCGTATAATTTAATATTCCCTAACTCACATTGTCCCAGTAGTTCGAAATGACATTGCCGTGTCAACTATTAATCCACTCCGGTGAGGATGCTTTCCCTCCGTACTTAACCGCAAGGAAATTCCAGCTGTCTAGTTCCGCGCGGCGGAAAGACAAATATCGGGTGCTTTTCGAAATTTACGAGAATTTCGAGGGCCGTTCTCATAAATCGGCGCGCTTCTCCTCGAGAGACAAAACAAGCCGGCGACACGTGAAAAAGCAAAAAAGAACCAGCCGGAGAGAGAGAAAGAGAGAGAGAGAGAGAGAGAGCAGCATGTTGTTGCAATAAGCCTGGCTGGCAATTCAATTAGCCGCTGTTAATTAAGCAAAACTTTAGGACAATCCCGTTCGGTATCGGAACGAGGTTGATTCAGTTTTCCGGTGTTGCGCGCACGGCAAAAGAGAAAAACGGTAGGAAAATAAGGAGAGAAGCGCACATTTACGCAGCGTTTAATTGTCGATCATAGGAGGGTTTAATAGCGATCCAGCTATTAATGATTATGACTAGAATATGAGACTTATATGGATGCGAACCGGCTCATAATGAATATCTAATGAGAGTTACTCGAAACGATATCTGACGCTATTTTCTATAGTCCCTCTCTCTTTCTACGGACCCTCGCCATTTCCATGTGGTCCGGCTCACTCTCTTTCTCTCTCATTCCCTTTCTTTTGCAACGTGAAATGAGATACGTGAAAAAAGAAATTAATTAAACGGGGCATCATTACGGCGAACTGTCGTACCGTCTCACCGCAGGCCGCACCGCATAGGCCGGAAAAATGGCCGCTTGATTGACAGAATTAGATGAGCGTCGACCGCACGCTATAATTTAATCCGATTTTTGCTGATCCGGTTCTTTTAATAGAGAAGCTTACGGGGAAACCAGTCATCCAGTCAGACGCCAATTAATATGTGGAAATTCATTAATGCATCATCGGAATATCCCTCTTTATCATGCTATTAAAATATTACGCAAGCGGAAGATACTATCGTAGTCTTTTTTCTTCGGAGAAGCCAAGGGTTTATGTTCCTTGAACCTACATTCTGCTGAAGTTATCGGTTTGATCTTAGTTTTCCAGTCGTGTTCTCAACTGTGTCTATTGTCACACATATATTTTTTTTTATTATATCTTACGTTATACCAAAGTCACGCGCGCGGTAGATATAAAAGTTCAATGATAGTAATAGTCATTGAATTTATATATAGATAGATATTTTCAAGATATTTTTAAAAATAATTTTAGTAATTAGAATATAAAATTCACTGCTTTTTCAGACGGAAAAAATAAACACAGTTGCCTGATATTTTTAAGTCATTTAATACTTAAGGAAAAAGAAAGGAATTATTCGTAAATGTAATTCTATTTTTTATCCTACTATCTAAAGTCGACAAGTTCTTGAGACATCCGCTTTCGATATCGTGCCACAATATTTGCTGTCACGGCACATGAAAGTTAAGGGCGAAAAGTGAAACGACGTCGCTGTGTCTCGACGCGACAGCGCGAGAACGAACAGTACGGCCGTATCAGGACCGCAATTTGCCACGACACTTAATATCGAGCGGGCCTTAAATCCGACTGCCATTCACGCGTCGCGTCAACAGCTCCATCGATGGAGCAATCCGCCATCTTTGGGCCATGGATCATTGAATAATTCATAATTTACGGGTGGAGGAAGGGGCTCGTTAAAGCCGCGGGTATCTCATCGGTTTCCTGTTCGGCTCGTTCTCGTACAAACAAGAGAGAGACAGAGCTGGGAAGGAGGGAGGGAGGGAATGACGAAAAAAAAAATCCTCGCTTCTCGATGCGACACACAAAGGTACACCCGCTCCGAAGTAAACGTCGTCGTGACGCTCGAAGTCGTCTGACGGGTTTGCGCCGGTGCCGGATGCCACTATCTCACGTTTTCGTTCTTAGGCGATTCGAGGACGCACGTGAATCAAATTACGGTCATCCGTCTTTCGCTCCGGCGAGCATCTTTCGCACATTGCCTGGACGTCCCGTCAGGACAATTCGCGCTGACAGTTTTGTTTTTCAGAGTCGCGAGGTCATTTACGCGCGCTATCCTGCGAGCCATCTCTCGGTCATCTCGCAGCAAGTGAATTAGAGTGATGTATTTCTACGGGTACCTTTATACGTTGTCTTGTTACAAATATTGTATCGCCGTATACGTAAATTTTTATTTGTCATTATGGAGTACATACGCGTTATCTTTCAGCAGAGGAAAGAAAATGCTATAAGGATTCCGTTTTATTCCAATCATAAATTGCTTTGCAATAAAATTAGCGGCCAATATGATATAGGCAGCTGTATATCGCGAAACAAAATCTGCGTTTATCAATTACGTTTTCACATATACCCTATAATTTGCCATGCATGCGCTTTGCTCTAATCTATAATGAGAATCTCTTATTTCGATCAAGGCTTGCTACTGAGAAAAATATCGGCTCGCCGAATCTACGATATTAATTGAAACATTAGGATTTCGCGACGACCGCAAGCGGAAGGTTGACTAGAGCTAGTCTTTTTTTCTTCGAACGAAGCGAAGGGTTTATGTTCCTGTAAATGTAGGTTTGAACCTACATTCTGTTGCAAAGTTATCGGTTTGATCTTACTTTTCTGGTCGTGTCAGTTCTCGACTCTGGCAGACGGTCTGATAGAATCTTACTATATCTGTGCCCTCGTCGCATAGTTGTATGATTTGACTTTTTTTAGTTTGCAATAAAATCTCAGAGAAAAACCAGTGACTCCAAAATACTACTCGATTTGCTTTTAAAGAAATATTATAATCAAAAGAGAAACTTTCGCAAAACAATTAAGCGCACAGGTAAATATATATTTTTAAAAGCTTTGGTTTTTGTTGAATTTTTGAGTTTATTTCGAAAGATTATCAATTCATCTGTGGCGTACAATTAAATTTTTACTTTAAAAAAATAAATCTCGAATTGATTTTAGAGAATTAAAATGCATCTATATGCAGATTTTTAGATTTATTTTATTATTACTATGTATATGTAACAAAATAACTGAGATTATTTTTATATCTCTCCAATATTAATATAATATATACAATTAATTAATATTAGAATTTTGATTGTCTCAGAAGAGAATTTGATCATTTACTGGTTTAAGATTAATCACTAGTGTGTATATATATATATATATATATATATATATATATATATGTATATATTTTTAGTGATTAATCATCTTAAACCAGTAAACGGCAATCAAAATTCTGATATTAACTGTATGTCTTGCTGTGTCAATAAACCCTTTTTCATCATCGTGTTCGAGCCGATCAAATTCTACATAACGTCTTTGCCAGTCATAAACTCCCGTTTTGCAGTTTGGCGATTAACGAGGTTTCTCCTTTACGTCATAATGCACGCATTCAATAAACTCTCGCATTCTGCGTTTCGTATTCAAGACTCAATTCATTCTGTATAGTGTATATGCACGACCATTGTCGGAAAACATATATAATGAAAAAATAATTTAAAAAAATAATAATTTGCAACAGTTGATTATTCCGTTTTTTTTTATATATAGGAAGCAAAAATTAAAAGAATAAGAATTTAATATAAAATGTATTTAAAAAATGTTATGTAATTTCGATATTATACTGTATTAAAATAAAATTTAATTCTTATTCAATTTTTATAAAATTGTTCATTTAAAATTAAATAATCGACATTTTCTCAAATTGTGGTATGATAAGTATTATTATAGATAATATTAAATAATAGATAATTCCAAATTAAAGAGAAACACTTAAGTAATTTCATTTTCAATATTAATTCCATTTCATTCCAAGTTGTACTATAATATTGAATAAAGATTGATGAAATCGGGTTCGCAAAATATTCTTCTCACTCTCGCTGTGCCAAGCAATTTTGAGAAGTTAATGGGATCGGCGGGACGGTGGCAGAATTCTGGCAGGAGAATGCGTCACTCTTTCCGCAGGAGTGATGTCCTGGCAAGCAATCGGGGACTCCCTTCGCATTTTGACGAGCCCCTCCTGAGAAACGGGTATGCATCCTGAGAGAGAGAAAGAGAAAGAGAGATCCTGCACCTCCGTTGAAACATTACTCGTGCTCTTTGCGGAAAGCCGAATTTATTTCACGGCGAAAGTGAATCATAGCGAGTGGCCGCGGTTACGTTGAAATATTATCCCCGGTCGCCATTATTACGCGTACGGTCACTCGTAAAAAAACAGTGATAAACAGGCGCGTTGCATTGACTTCCTTTCTCACAATTGTGCAAAATAAGATTTTTTATCTCAAGATATGTATATTCAAGATATTTTTATGCCTTTTTCACTCCTTCAAAAAGATAGATATTCAACTTGTAATTATATAGTTTAATACGCTTACATTATCGAGCACCTATAAGTTTTTAATTTATATTTTTATTTATTTTGATTTAGTTAGGATATGTGATTGAATAATCGTGAATCGTGGCAAATATAAATTGTCAGAGTGTTTGCAAACGTAACGGACATTTGATTCCGAGAAAGAAGACTGCCGAGTCTTATCGGTCACGACTGCGCTATCGTGTCGGCTTTCCGGAATACAATTGGATTCTCTATTTTCCCCGGCGCAAGGAATCAGGTGCGAGCTCAGCGAGTATTATAATCTCGGTAGTCGTAGATAGGCTGCAGTCGCACAGGTCGGCGTTATAAAACGACGGAAATTTATTGGGCCAGCTCTAACACACAAGTGTGCACACGCGGGCCCCGGTAGTGAATGGCGACGGCGGCGGCGATCTTCGGGGTCCGATGGGACCCGGCGCGCGGTGGCGGCGGCGGCTGCGGCGGGGTACTCATCGTTCTCCGTCGTTTTTTCTTTTCGTGGGCCCCGTCGGGCCTTGCAGGACCTGTACGAGGACTGGTCCGCGATCTACCGTAACCGCATTCCACCTTACCTCACCTTGCCCCTCGCACGATCCTCGCAGCCTCCCTTGTGCCTCACTGACTGCCTTCCCCCTCTCACTTCTGCTCCTTGTCCCTTTTCCCTCTCCCATACCTTCTCACTCCTCCTCGCCGCTTTTATTCAGTCCTTCTCTCCTCCTCGTCGGTCGTTTCCTCTCTTTGTTCCTCTACTATTTCTTCGTCCTTTCTTGGTGAGATTTTTTCAATTCCTTGTTTAACGATAACTATCTAAATTATTACGCTTCAATCTTTAACTTATCGCTTCAATTATTATACGAGGTTTAATTGTGTATATTAATAAATTTTTATGTATCTCAATGAATTTATATCGTTTTTGTATAATCTTTCTAATTTATATTGTGAGTAACAGTAAGACCGAGTTTCAAAAAAAGCAACAAGTGGCACATAATTTCTTACCGCTAAAGGTTTACGTGTTAAAACTAACAGCGCATTATAACTGTCACGTACGCCTTATGTAAACATTAACCGGTATTTCTTATATATACATCATAAATCACAAGGAGACATAATTTCCAAGCTTATTTATTTTCCGAGTAAAATAAATATTATTTAGAAAAACGATGTCTTTCTTGCTCTTTCCTTTCTTCATCATTTCGTCTTTTCTCTCTCTCTCTCTCTTTCTTCTGACGAACGTGGCAGACAAAAGAGGGCTCAGGTTCCGAAACACGTATCCGGCGGACCTCGCGCGCGAACTTGTTTTGCTCGCGATTACACGGAGTCCCCAACCTGCCGCGGTTCTGTGTTTACCCGGCCGCGAAACCCCCGGCCCTGGATGCGTGCTTGCGCCATCCGTCAGTGGCCCCGTGGGCACGACGGGGACAGAGCGAGGAGGAGGAAAGGGAAGAGAGATAAACGGACCCCGGTTGGTATTCGAATACGAGCGTTACGTGACGACCGGGTTCCCACCTCCCTGCAGGTTTGCCCGGAGATTCCGGGTTTTTGTCGAGAAGATCGACCGGACGATCTCTCCCGTATACCGCGGGCCTTACGCTGGTACGTCAGTGTCGTCAGTACGTGTCGTAATTAGAGGCCTGATAGATCGTGTCTTGTCGATCGTCGACTGTCGGTCGCGCCACGGCGTATATACGCGTTGTCGACGTATACAATTAGCGCGGCACGACAACGGCGGAGATGCTTTCGGGGTTGACGTAATGATGAGTAATCGTTTACGGCGATTACATTCCCAATTATTATTGCAGCGACTTTCTTCCTATGTAACAATTATGTTACTCGTTAAGATCATCACGTAATACATCATCTCGTGCGTCACGGTATTCCACCTTATACCCACTTCGATCCGAGATACCATCTACGCCGATTTATCATCGGCACGGATCAATACTCGCGCGCGCATCGCGTTATTCGCAGCCTCCGTGTGCCGAATTTGTCGAAAGGACGAATCGTACATGGAGCCTCTTCAAGACTATCAGATTCTAGGGAGATATAATATAACACAAAGAGTAATATTCGTAATATATCGCGTTGACGTCACTATTCGCGTTTGCGTCACCATTGTACTATGCCAGATTCCAGAGTTAATCAAAGTCACACACGTGGACTTATCTCTAAAATTCTGAAAATAGTCGATCTGATTTGGACAAGATTAATAAAGAGATACAATTCCATCTTGTTCACAAAACTAATTCACGCGTACCTATTATAGTGAAATCTGAAATTGTCTAGTTTTATTTCAAAGAGGCTAGTGAAACCTTTTTGGTTTCAAGATCAATAAGTCGTTTACAATGCAATCAACGTCGGTTGTTCCAAATACGTGAGAAATGCGGTATATGCGGAAGGTCTAGGAAGTCCAGAACTAATCCTAGGTACTCTCGACAAAGGGGCTAATCCAAGCCCGGTTTACTCGCGCTCTCGAGCGAGAGGCAACCATGAATTACGCGCTTTCTTGATATCTTGGTTTGAGCCCCGGCCTACGAAGGAGGCCGGAGCAACCGGTAAGCCGTCTGTCGGTCCCTCTGAAGGGCCGCGCGAGCGGCCCTTCGGGGCACTTTGCACAGCCGAGGCTCATCGGCTACAGCGGACCTCCCACGGGCCGACCGGCTCTTCACCATCGAGAATCTTGCCCTGCTCCTCTCCCCTCGTCCTTCTCCTCTTAAACCTTCTTCGTCTCCTCCTTCCTCTTCTTCGCCGTCTTCTTGCCCATCTCCGCGTTTCTCCTCTCTCTCGCTGTCCTCCGGCCTGTCTCGCGCCGGTCTCTCGATTCGTCGAACCGCTCGCTTCGTGCTCCCCGATCAACGACGATTCCACGCTTTCGCTGGCGGTGGTGGAGTCGAGAGAGTCGAACGAGTCGAGAGAGATCCGCCGGATGTTGCGAAACCTCAGCGTGACTCTCGCGCAGACGAAGCCGGACAGTCGAGAGCGCACACCGGATTCGGATAGACGTTAATGGAAAATAAAATGAAAAGGAATAGTAGCGTGGAGATGGATGAAAAAATAAATAGAATCCCTTTCTCTCTCGTGGGTTTTTTCCAGGTACACTTAATGGCGGGCCTCACGATTTTTTGTCTATGAATTCTTCAATTAATTCGAAGTCGATTTCCTTTTTGAGAAGCAATTTTCAATATTAAACATTTTATGGCCTATATATCTTGCAATCATATAAACTTAGAGCTTTGTTAAATTATAATGTATAATTTGCATAAATTTTTAATATAATATCTTGTTCAACGGAGAGAGAAAGCGTAAGTAGACATTCCCTAATTTTTAGAATGACACCTGTTTTTTTTTTTACAACTCCACCTCGCAACAGAGAAACCAAAGAATTTCGCGTTTTACAAACAAATTCTACCTCACGGTTGAAGTTGAGTGCATCAGAGCGGTTCTATCATTACGTTCCGGACCCCATACGTCGCTGCCAAGCTACTATTGTAATTAGCTCATGCCGGCCGCGGTTACGGTGGATCGTGCTGATTTGTGAGAAACGATTGCGAATGGCTCGAAGCCTATTATTGCGAGGGATATCGGGATGCGTGCCCGCGCGCGCGCGCGGGGCCGGTGCTTACTCAGGTGTACGACTATTACGAACACGGCCCCATGCCTCATACCCGCTTCATATTTCTATTCTCATGACCGAGCAACCTGTGCAGCCGGCCTTGACTCGTAACTCGCTCTCTTCTGGCGTCTGTAAAAAATCTCCAGAGTCCGGCCCTCTTTTGCTAACAGCCGTGACGCGCTTAATGCCGCTCGCCGCGCATTTATCGAGACGAGAGCTCGGCTCTGCAAACGCGCATTTACTTCGAAATGCATCAAAGCACATTCTCCGCCAACGTGCAATTCAAACCTTAGATTTATTCCAACTGAAACGGCGTTTGTTCAAATTTTCTTTTACTCGTCTCGTTTCGCGCGAGTATGTCACTGTATACTATTTTCAATGGTAAAGAAACGCGAACCGGACCGATACAAGAGCTTTCTTTTTCAATATCAAAATAATCTTTTATACATGTATGTAGAGTCGCAAGTTTACAAAAATGCAGAGTCATTAATCTTGATGCTCGGTTAAAATAAAATCGACATTTCTGTTTAATAATTGCTTGAAAGTAGCAAAAAATAACGTGGCTCGCACGGAGATAAGTTTTTAGAGGAATCCGTATGCTGAAACGGAGCTTCGGTTCCAGTTCTCCGATTATTCGCGCGCGCGATGAGATTGCAGAACATCACGGAGGAAGGTCGATCCCCCGCTCGTCCGCGCAGAAGGTTGTACCGGCCTGTGTAGTTATGTGCATCGGCTTCCGAGGTTACAGACGGTTAGTAAGAAATACTCCACGGACGATTGTATCGAATCGGACTGCAGCCTGGCAGAGAACACTGGCGAGTCTTTCTCGCTCGCGGCCCGCACGTACACGCATCGCTCTGTTTATACACTATGGCACTAAATGCCCGAAGCAGTCGTGCGATATTACTACCTTGCTTCGTAATGAACCGTTAGCGTAACTCTTAATACTGAATACTAAAGTATTCCAGAAGCCATTTGGAGCGTAGACGTCGAAGAATTGATAGTAAAGAATTATAAGTAGCGCTTGAAATTTTTGCAAAATTTTAAGATTCAACGTAAAAAATTTGTCAATTTTTATAAATTGGAATCATAAAATTGTTTTTAATTTATTAATTTTAAATTAAATATATATTATCTTAGTTTATCTAGATTTAACGATTTTAATAAATTAGAATTGTATAAATTGGAATCGTAAAATTTAATTTTTTAAATTTAAATAAATTAATAAAGTTATTTAAATTTACTAATTATGAATTAAATATATAATTCTTGGCTTATCCTAGATTTAATGATTTTAAATTTGGATTGTAAAAATGTTTTTATTTTTTGTCTAAAAACAAGCTTTGATAAAGTGAGATTATAAAATTGTTATTTGACTTTGAGACTATAAAATTGCAAGTTTATTAGCTTTTAATTCATTTTCTGAACGGAGCTTTACAAAGTAAATCGCATTCTACAGACTATACAGTCTTTCCATCATAGCATCAGAGGGCAAATCGAGCATGCGAATCGAGCGTAAACGTTATTGGATGCGGCGAGCTCGTATGGATGAAGTTCTAATGGGGGATACGGACCCTATCGCGTGTCGGACCGGTAGTGATTAACCCTTCGTGGTATTGTGCGAAACAAAAGGCGAACAACGGGAGAAAACACAAGAAGCACGCGATAATGAAAGCACTTCATATATAGCGCTGCGAGACGTGCATGCGCTATGCGTTGTCAAGCCAAAAAGATTGATTTTGAAAAAAAAGTCAGCAATTAAGGGTCCCACTGAATAACGGAACTAATTGTCCGTCCAGCGCGGAGGTGTTTACGGGATTTCATTGTTCGACGTTCACGTTCGCCGGTAAAAACACGAATCAAACGTTATGACTCATCCGTCAGCCAATTCACATGTTTCGCATGTGTGTGTACCGGGATACAGTGAGTCTGCACGATTTTATAGCACTCTGCACAAGCGAAACTTTCGATAAAAGGCATCAGTACATTTTAAGCTTTTTCTTCTAATATTATAAAAATATCTAGAAATATAGAAAAGATTACAGAATCTGCAAATTAACAAATAAATATAATGATCAAAATTATGCGTGCATTTTGCGTTTGTTAACTAATAATAAAAATCGCATAATTTTTTATCACATCAAAGAAAGAAGTTATGTCCAGCTTTATTGATATGCATTATAATTTAGCAATTACTTATTTTAATTTATTAATAGCATTTTTCAAGTAAACTGTTATTTTATAATTAATGTATGTTATGAGATTATTGCCCCCCCCCCCTTCTCCCTCTGGACATGTAATTGAAAACGTTAGGAAGGACCTCGTTGTCAGAGATTAAGGCCCCGGCTTTGTCACGGAAGAAACCGTTTCTGAAAACAACCGGAAACGTCGAATCAAGCGTGCCCCTCGAGCGCGGGTGGCATGAGTTAGGTTTTTTTTACTGATTTCATGCTCGGGGCCCGCGTGCGCTACGGTGCAAGAAACCGTGAATGGAACATGTTTACAGTTAAGATATGTCAGCGGCGTGATGTCCGTTCGCCACATATGACCGGCAAAAAGTATATTACGGGGCTGAAATGCCACGTTATAGAACGGCTGTAAAGAAAAAAGAGGCGGTCGTGAGCGCCTCTTAAATTCGATATGAGGCGCGAGACATTCTTTTTCTTTCTAATTAGTGAACCTTTCCTTGTACCGCGATAAATCTTTCTGTTTATTCTGCTTTTAGGGAATTTCTTTTTTAGAATGTAGAGAAGAAACTTCTTTTTTAGAAAATACTTGTATACCTTTACCAAGTATTTTATATGCGATATGCTAACGCGAATATATTAGCCATCAATTATTTTTAATAAGAGAAATTTAAAATAGATTCTTTTTCGATTCATATTTAATTAGCATTTTAATATGTGCTTATATTCGTGAGCTATTTAAATATATAGAATTTTATAAAAGATCTCCAATTATGGTTGTAATATTTATAATTCCATTTATCTCATATTTCAGCATAATTATTATATAAAAAAATTACATATATCTGAAAGAAGTATAATGGTATGCCGAGAGATGAAATTATCTCGAAAGAAATTATTTATCGAGTTGTTGTTATCGTTACGTGCAATATATCAGGATAAGTGATGGAAATTAGATAAACACGCGACTCTACATGTAACAGTTCGACTGCAATCTCTTAGACGACAAGGCGATCGTTAAGGTCTCGCATCCTTCGTGTTACAGCGGAATCGGATATCTGTACTTTCGCGGCGAGGACGGAGCATTTTCACGTCACGAATAAACCATCGACGGGACTGTTCACGGCGGACACGAGGCCGAAGGCCCTGAAGGAGTTGTACGAGCTCGCTGCCATAGTCGCCGTACGAAGTTTGGATTCCTTAAGGAGGGATGGCAGCTCGATGGATATGTTCCTTTGCACGCCGGTTCTTGGTAAACGGAGACGGGACCACAGCCTCGACATCGAGTCTCGAGTCGTAAGTACATTCCTCTTTGTTTCTCTAAAAATGCCAGGACATATTCCCCTCCGATTGGTATTTTTCTCCGCAGTCCAAGTTAATTTCAGATCAGTCAACGTCAGATATCTTCTGTTAATTCTACTGTCAGCATCGTTTAATGTAATAGTCAATTTTTCAAGATTTCGAGATCATATAGAAAAAACCTTTTATACTAATCCTAATACATTTTAAATTAAATAACGAATCTAGATATACATCAGCAAATCCGTGAGTTGTTAAATTTAGAATAGAATAATAGAACATACGAATTAAGCAAATAACTTTTTGAGTTTATTTTTTAAATTTAATATTCATCTAAAGATAAGAATTTATGTCTCGCTAGAATCTGTAACAACTTTACCATTTTGATTAGCTAATCGTTTCTTACTAATGACGCATATAGTAGAAATCTTTTTGCTGAATGAGAAAGTTGCACAGGCAGCGCATTCATACATATATGCATTTTCTCAATGAGTTATATAACGATACTGAGTTCATCGCCGTAGTTTACACTGTTCCCATTGACTTTGCGAAATATACGGTAGAAACTGAATATTGAGTTCAGGCAATTAGCTGGCATCGGATGAGCGAACACAGAGATTACACAGTGCATGACTCAATAATCCTCAACATGAGACACTAACTTACAAATGCCAAGTAGAATCAAATCTGACCTCATTGCCTACTTAATTCGACGTAATTAACTTTCACCGTGTAATTGAAGAGTTCATAGGATCGAATCCCGTTTCTTTGAAACAGTTTCAGTTAATTTCGCGGAGCAGCGTTTCCTCTCCACTTGACATCAAATGTGTCACGATTAACTTGCATTTTTCTCTGCGCTTGAACCTGCGCGCTTAAACCGGTTTATATCAAACCGAAGATTGTCACTCACATTATAATATGACGGTAATACTGTACTTGACAAGCAGAAGAATGTAAATTCCATAGATTATCTTCCGTTAAAGAAGATAATCAGGACCAAGGATGACTTTCAAGATAAATTGATTGAATATGAATACATATATACATACACAAATTCGATATGACTCGGCTTTATGTAAAACAACAATTTGAATTTTTGACAGTTTTATTCTAACAAAACTGTCGTATTAAAAAATACAAATTAAGTTAATGTATTTATTTAGACACACAGAGAGAATTTTTTTTAAATTTACCCTGCAAATCATGTTAATTATGGGACAATATAGTATTTAGGCAAATTTTACTGTGCACCACAATAAGATTTTGCAGTAAAATTTATTGTAGTGCACAGTAAAATTTATCTAAATACTATATTGTCTCACAATTAACATGATTTTCAGGGTAAATTTTAAAAGAAAATTCTCTCCGTGCAGTTTGAATTTATTTTGTACTTCGGCCAATCATAGGAGCTTCTGTAATATGCACAATTAGTTGAAGTAGTCAGGATAAATGAATATTTTAAAAATCGTTATTTCCTAATTTATTTCCTTCTGTTTCTCTCTCTCTCTTTCTCTCTCGTATGCGAAATTAAAACATGTACAATGGCCATTTTCACGGATTAGTTGCGAACAACGGCTAGTGCATCGTGTGGAAAAGTTGGCAGACGGTCGGAATCCAATCCGTTCCGTATCTCCGTGCGTGAAACCCGTCCGGTCGGCGAGGTGACACCCCGACAATGGTTAACGCCCACGCAAGGTGCCGCAGCGCGTAAAACACGTCGTTCGCTCTTCTTCCTTCGCCGCAGCGGCGCGGCGCGGCGTCGAGTTTCCCGCAGGGTGAACGGAAGGCGACCCCTCCTTGTTACGGGGCTTCTGGATCCCGCGGAAGTAAAAAAAAAAGCGAGTTATTTGTTACGTGCTCTGGGACCAACCAGGCCGCATAACAACAGCAAACATGTATACATATAAATTGGCACAACTCTTTCACACGGCACGAGAAACGCGCCGCTTCCTCAAGTATATTCGCTATGACTTTATTTGACTACCCAAACAACTTCTCAATTTTGTAGTTGTATAGTAGATTGGCTCATAAGAGTTTGTCGTAAAAATCTACGAAAGAAAAATACATAAAAAAAATACTCTTTTATGAAAGAGATTGTTACGTGCTCTGGGATCAAGTCGCATAACGATACCAAGCAAACACGTACGTACAAAATAACACAACTCTTTCACACGACACGAGAAATGCACTTCCTCACGTATTCGCTACGTCTCTTCTACATAATATCGAACAATATTTTATAATTGCATTTTTTAATATATATATGCATGTATACATATATATATTATGTTGAATATATGTACAAAATTTAATAATCCTATTAGTATATTTTTTATTTATCAAAATTACAATCTAAAATAATTGACTCTTAATTTTAAAATAATATAAATCGATTAAAAAGGACTACTATGAGTAATGTCGCAGGACTTGTTGCGTATATATAAAAATTATTATATCATTTTATTCATTCTATTACATTACTCTTCCAATCTCCTCTCAAACCGTACGTTTCAGCTCCATTCGGGCTTTCTTCAGCGATAAACAATAATCAAAGAACTTCCGTTGTTTATTAGCTTATTTATTAGCGGAAATTATTTACGTAACGGAATAAATAAAATGACATAATAATTTTTATACGCAACAAGTCTTGCATGATGACTCATAGTAGCCCTTTTTAATCGATTTGTATTATTTTTTATTAATGATCAAAGAGATAAAAGTGACAATAAATATGAATAGTTCCGCGAGGCGTAATTACAAAAGGAAATATGTTATAAATGGGACGGTGATTTTATTACATGATTATTCTGTTGCAGCCGGCTGCTATCGAGGATCTTCGAAGGTGGACGTCTACCGAAGCTCTCGGCGACGTTACCGTACCGCCGGACTGCGCGTCCAGGATCTTGGGCGACACGACTGGCGACGATGCCGTCGATCACAAGCTACCTAGCCCCGAGGAACAGGTTCAGGCTATCGCGCTCAAGTAAGCGGTTTATCTCAATACGTCGCTTGATTGCTGATAGAACGGGAATTGTAGAAACCGCCGCACGAAATATAGAGAGACCGAAAATCTTTTCAGTATTGATATAATTTATGAATGATAATCTCGATAAAAAAATTAAAAATCTATTTATGATTTAATTTTTGACATATATTTCGTCACTGTCATTAAATTTTAGATTTTTATTTATATATAATAAAGAATTTATTATTTTGGGAAAGATTAATAAAATTTAATGTAATGCTGGACATTTTTACCAACTGTATCTCAAAGAAATTATCATATTTTAAAAAAAACTGATATCTATAATTATTAAAAAAGATTAGCAAAGAAGATTGAGATTTAAATAAAAATTTATAGAGTAATTATGAGAAGTTTACAGTCAAATTAATGCAATGTTATATAATTTATATATAAACTAATATACGTATAATTGTGTATAAGTCAAAAGTCTGTCACACGGCTTCCTGTTACGTGACTTGATACGCTCGTCTCCTCCGGTCCATTCAGTTTTGTATCAATGACAGGCCGACAAGCCTATTGTGATCCCGAAATATACGCTTTCATCGTAGATTCCCGGCGGAAATCGTAGCGGTGGATGTGAGCGGTCGGGGTTTCGAAAGAATGTCGATGAGGAGGAGGTCCTTGCTGTCAGGGCCAGAAACTCAGGAAACGGTGAAGAGGAGATCACGGCCACGCAGGCCGAGAGGAAAGAGACGAAATACGATCGCTGGTACCGATCAGAAGGAGATTCGACAAGCTATCGGAGGGTTAGTGTTGTCACAGTTTCAATTCCAAACTGATGAATTTTGTGAACTTTCTAATCCTTCTTATTCACTACTCTTTCAGTTATTCCTAATTCATAGATTGCGAACAATTTTTTTATTTCGTATATTTCTTAAAAAAAATAAATGTATTTAATTAAAATTCTGCTTTATAAAGCGCTATTATATATGCTATACTTTAGATTCTGAAATTAATAAAAATTATTTTGTCAACCCTTCATTGTTTCACGTTTCGCGAAAGTAACTGTTTCAAGATTGCTCGATTTATCTGTATAATAAGGATAATTTTTCATCGTTGCTAAAAAAAGGATTACCAGGAAATGCTATCATTGAGGGGATTAATGGACCATTCGGTGAATGTCCAACCCCTTCAACTTTCACGACATGATAAATATACTCGTATAACCAAGAAGTATGCATTTTGCTCGGATACATCTTATCGCTGCGGTCCTGTTACTATAAGGCAGTATAAGGACGCGGTTCCGGAGATCTCTGTACCTCGAAAATAGTCGGCGATTTGTCACGCTCGATAAAGTGCGCTCATATTTTCGCAGTCGTCCAAGCATGAAGAATCTCCCTTATTCTACTTCTTTTGTACATCCCATTGCCATGATAATAGTTTCAGATCGTCCCTCTCCCCCGTATCGTTGTCGTGCGATATCGCATGCGAGACCACCCACGGGCTCTAACAATGTAACTTACGTATCAATTTAAGTATACGCGAAATAATAATCTGTAACAAAATCGTCATCGTATGTCGCGATTTATCCAATTAATCGTACGTATGCTCGCGCGTAAATCTGTCGCTTCTTAAAACGTGATGCAAACCAATTCACTGCAGTACTTCCCATCATGTTCACGTCGTTGAGATTATTTATCGCTGTAGGGAGACGACTGGCGACGAGCCCGAGGAGACGTTGCCAAGCGCCACTCCGAGAGCCCATCGCTCAGCGAGCACGGACGTCTTGGGCTCCGTGAAAAAGGATTCACCCACGGAAAAGAAGTCGCACTTCAACACGCTGAAGGCGTGGGGCATGTCCAGACTGAAGCTGATCAGTCCGAAATCGAATCAGCAGCAGCAGCAGCAACAACAGCAGCAGCAGGAAACGACGGTAGTCAGCGCGGAGAGGAACGAGCAGACACAAGGTCAGACGAGATCGCCGGAGGAGATCAATATTTACGAAACGGTGACTACGAGACGCAGGAGGGACAAGTCGCACGAGAGGAAGCCGAGCTCGTCCAGCTCGAGCGGCAAGAGCACCGCCAGCATACCGGTGTCGGTACCGAGCACGGACAACAAACAGCCGAGCGTGAAATTACGCGAGAGCGCCGCCCAGAGGCGAGAACGACGGAAGGGCAGCAACCGCGACGACGCGCCGCACTCGAGCTCCGGAAACTGGAGCGCCTCGTCCGAGAGCGGAAGAGCCAGCATCGGCAGCGAAACCACCACCACCACGCATCAGCCCAGGTAAGAAGAAGAAATCGAACATGGATTATCTTAATAACGACGGTCTCGATATTGATAAAAATCTTGTATTTTACTGGTTGTACGGCCAATTAAATAATTTCAAAAATAACAGCAGATCTTAAGATGGATTCTAAATATTTGAGTATATACCTAATAAAACGATTTATAAAAATTTAATTGCAGAAATTATTTAAACTTCATACTTCAAATTTAATTTCTATTATTCCTGCAAATTGAATGTTGCTTATTCAATCTCTTGAGTCAAAGGCCACGAAGAGATTATTCTAGACTAGGAGATTAAATTTATTCGCTTAATATATTTGAAATTATCTCAGATCCACGACGACGGCTTCGATCGGCACGTCTTCAACTTCCCTAAGTCATATGAGGCGATTAAAGGGAAGGGATACTTCAGCCTCGTCGTCGGTAACTTCCGAAGGTACTCTAACGCCGGATATCATACAAGATATCACGGTGGTGCCCTTTTCCGACGATGGTGAAACATCGTCCGTGTACTCCTGCGACACGGAGGGATATTACACTTCGTTTCATATGGATTCGGGCTTGAAAACACTTAGAGAGGAGGAACCCATGCCACAGAGCCCTTTGACCAAGACTAACGACATCGGCTCCGACCCCACTTCACCGATCGTCGAGAACGAATACGAACTGTTTGGCAGAGGATCAACTTCCACAACGACCAGCTCGGCCGGAACGGTTTGCACCGCGCTGATGGCACCACCGCCTCCCGAGCGCAAGTCCAGCCTCACGGTTGTTGCTATGGTAAGTTCGAGCTTCAATATTTTAGCTTCGACAAGAGATAGCGGAATAAAATTACGCATTAAATTAATACTCATTTATTAAGAGATCAAAAATAGCCATAAAAATGGGATAAAATAAAATGGATGAGATTGGATAATTAATATTAAATTTTAGACAAAAGATAAATTTATATCGATTATATTAATTTTTAATAATATAATGTCAGAGCGTCCAATGCATGTAAAGAAATGCCTTATTTTAATTAACTTTCACTCTTTTTTTTTATTTAAAAATGAGCAAATTTCTCTTTCTTAAGATTATATTTTTTATTAAATTAATATAAAAATGCTAGCATCAATCTTTCTATTAAAATATTTAAGTATTTGATAAAATTATTAAATGTTTTTATAAACTAAACTGTTTTTATAAACTAAACTTTACATAATAATTATAGAAAGTGTGCAAGCATTTATCCTTTTGTCTATATCTTCAATATATTTATATTTGTCGACAGGTTCACGGACAAAATCAAAACGGCGGCGAGTCACCCGATAGCGGTCACAACACATCCTCATCTCCCGTCGAATCTGCCTCGAGTCCAGCCTGCACCGGTCGTTCCTGTTCCGAGTTCGAGTACTCAGAGTCAAGCGATCTAGAGGGCTGCGAGCGAATCGAGAGAATCCGTTCGAAGACGGCAATCACAACAAGTCGGATTCCATCGATGTGCGTGATCACGCCACCCGTGTCCGACGACGAGCACGCGAGGGAGTCGGAGCAGAGCGAGAAGAAGACAAACGAACCGAGGAGGACTGAACTTCAGGGCGGCGGTTCGGTGCTGATGTCCGCCACCGTCGGCACTTCCAAGATGGAGGTGATCAACGGCCAGGACAAGAATCTGTATGCAACCGTGCAGGTGTTGCCGGTGGCCGTCAATATCGACAGACCGACCACGACGAGCTCGTCGTCGTCGATCAAAATCAGTCCGCTGAGTGGAGTTCTGGGCAAGCTTCGCGGCGTGCTTCCGGGCAAGAAGCACGCCACGAAGCACAGCGCCGTGCAGGAGCTGTCGAATGCAGACTCCGGCGACTATGTGACCATAGCCGACGTGAGGAACAACAACGACAAACGTCCCGCGGGCCCGCTCTCGTCATCGTCATCGTCGTCGTCGTCGTCATCAGGCATGACCGCCGTCCGACCGACTACCACCTACGCCAATTCCGACATCTTCAAGAAGGACGCGGAATACGTGAGTCTGAGCGAGCTGCCGAAGAAACCGGATTCGTCGTTGGAGAGGAAGAGACAGGGCGCTCGAGTCACTTTAGATTCCGAGGGCAAAGTCGTCTACTCGTCCGATAGCCTGAAGAGAAGGAAGGGAGCGCACACGACGTTTAATCCGGGTATTTAAATTATTTCAATTATTCAACATTACTCTTTCTATTAGCTTGACCTATCAGAATAAATATTTTTTTTACTAAAATCTCAATTTAGATTAGCTTTGTAAATTATATTAAATTATTATAGCAAATTATATTATATTAAATTATTAACAGCATTTTTTGTTTCATCTTGTTTCAACATAAATGTGACAAAAAGCATCTTGATGAAACTAATTATAATGGACAAAGAATAAATTATCAGAAGCGTCTCAAATTCGCGTTTTCACGTAACGTCAATGTCTAGGTCCTTTCGTGAGAGAGGGTGTATCACCAAGCCCATCGCCGTTGTTTCATCGCGCGATGCCGAACGTTCGTGCCGTCACGAAAAGCGCCGATACCGTGGATCACGCCGCGAACATTAGGATCACACCACCGACGTCACCTCAGCTGGGCAAGCTAATCATTCGGGCGGCACGGAGCCCCGATCGCGCGACCAGTCCGGATTACGTGCGCACCCCGGCGACCGTGGTCGGTCCCACGAGCCCGACCAGTCCCCACAGACAAGTCCGCGGGGCTTACGTCAACGTGCAAGGCGACGAAGGTAAGACGTCCAGCACTGACGAGCACCGCGATTGCCGCACTGGTAGATTAGAGGCGTTACGCACTGCGACCGCTACGTCACGCTCTAAGGACGAGTCTAGGCAGTTCCCCGTCAGCAATTCGACTCTCGCCCTGACGCCGAGCAACAAGCTCCCGGAGCCGGGCAGATCCGTGGACAAAGCCAGGATCTGTCACGGGGGCTCGCAGATAGACAAACAAACGAAGCGCAAACTCGATCGCGACGAGAACCATCCGCCGGTGGTCAACGGCGACGCCGTCGAGACGAGCGTTCGCGCGATCGCCCCGTCCAAAGTCAACCATTCGGTCAGTCTTAATCCCGCGAATTCGCGATTGGACTTTGAGAAATCGGGTCTCTATCCGAAGATTTTGAGAGTAACCGGCAACACGCCCAAGTTAGGTAGGAAACTGTTGGTCTCGGATCTCGATACTCCGAACTTCTGTAGGAAAACGTCTAATTCCGATGGTCAAAATGAGAATACGGCGCTCAACGATTGCGACGTCGTCGATAAGAAGACGACTGTCGAATGTACGGAATCAGATGATCAGGCTGCAAAAAGTTCCGACTCAGTGCGCGGCGACAGGGTAGATCGCAAGGTGAAACGTAGCGAGAGTTATCGCATGGCGAACAGTCCGATCATGTTTATCAAGAAATTCTCCGCGAGCAACCAAGCGGAGAAGTCGTCCAAGATTTGCAGGACGCCCTCCGAGGAGCTGCAGGAGGAGTTGCTGAGGGAGAGGATCAACTATCCCGAGACGGTCTCTAGTCCGGAGCCACGGGTCAATAACAACGTGACCTTTGACAATGATGTAACGGTACCGGTTCAGTCGGTGCCAACTAGTCCTAGACCGAGGGCTTCGGACCTAGAACCGGCTAGGGTGCTCAAATATTCTAGTAACGACACAGAAATCTGGTAAAAAGGAAACATATCGCGTTAGCGATTACAATACAGCAACTTTTGTGTCAACGCGAAGCTAAAACGAGATCGACAATTTAAATATTTAAAATTTTTCTACTCCTATCTTATCAAAGTCGACCAGTTCTATGAAGATTTCAGATCTAGGCGCAAGGAAATACTAAGGAAATACTTTTGCTTGTTAGTATAGCCGCCAGCGACTATAGAGATTTAGTAGAGAATATTGTATTAGTGTACAACATTAGTTTTGCAATGCTGATATGAAGCGGGAGTGATGAGATAATGCGTGCGACTACTGCAAAGCTCTGACATAAGTCGGGTCGCGCTTAGAAAAACAAACGAACGCGGGTTTAATCGAAAGTAATTATACTCTTGGAAAGTATGATAATGCGTGATAACGTGTCTTATGGCTAAAGGCACCGAGTACATCTGTACTACACTTTTCAGACTGTGCTTCTTGAGAATCTAACTCTAATCGTATTAATAAATAGTAGTTGCTCAAAGAATGACTTACAAAAAAATATTATAAATATAAAATTATCTCGAGAATTAATTTACAATTAAATTTTATTTCTACACAATTTTATTTCTAAAGAAAATCGAAGTTAAAAAAAGTTTTAATAGAATATAATTTCCTTTTATACAGCAAAACTTTTAGTAACTGGAAACTTAATATTTTTATTTCTAAAGAGAGACAAAGTTTTATGCTTTTAAAAATTTTCGTTTAATTTTTATACTCGTAAAGTGACGAATTTCAAAAGGAAATTCTTTTCAAAGTATTCTTTTGAGAAAGAAGAAATTAACTGATTGTGAGTTAAAATAGAATTCAACTTAGTGAACTAAGCTGTATTCTATTTTAACTCAGACTAATACATAGAATATCACAATTTTTTATGGCAAGAATCACGATATCTCGAAAATCGCGGCGTTTTTGCAGTCAAAGGTTCGGTTATCGGCGCGATAACTTCGCAGAGAATGATTTCGATGCGTTGAGACTTTGATACCTCGAGTTTGTTAAATAACGGTAAGATCATCGCGTAAAATAGATCGGAGGATGAACGGGAATCATCAAGGTCTAATCAAACTGGAGCGAAGAAGTCGCGGGGGAGATGTCGGCGCAGCGCATTGTAGCGCATTATGTAAACGACGGAATCAACGGATCGAGGTAATGTCACTCTCGCGAATTGACCGAGGCGGAGACCAATAAACGAATCGTTCGACGACGATCACGAGAGCGAGATCGGTCAATTTTTTGCGCACGCGAACAAAGATACAGATAAAGAAAAGACGCATACCGGTCACGTTTTCTCTTATCTGACACTCGTGTCCGATCTTTCCAACTGTCGGCCGACGATCCCCGCGGTGCGTTTAATACTTACGAGGAGATAAATCTCGAGTTTTATCGTCAAATGACAGTCCTTGTGTGGAATATTTTAGTTCATTAGTTTTATCAATAAGAGGAGATTGAATTTGAAAAAAAAAAGATTAATAGGATGAGTGCATGGCAATGATAAATTTTTGCACTTTTTTACCGAACAAACTATTCTCTTCAAACTTTTAATTTTTCATATTGATTCTTCTGAATCAAGGAAGGACGTGCAGAATTCTGAAATTTTAGTAATCAAGCTTTCCAACTTGTCACGCGTAAAGTTAAACTATTTTGTTTAACTTTAATAACACAATGGCATTTTTCGAAAAATTGGGGCATTATAAGTTAAAAAAAGGATTGTGCTGAACTGAATCACTTAATTAAAGTTCCGTCCATATTACGTTTATTTTATTCGGATTTAAATAAAACGGAATTAAGTCGCCAAACATTTGAAACTTTCATCGATGGGGGTAAACAGGAAATTATCGCGCTGGGGCGAGTAGTCAATCATCCGCTCTAGCAATCCGTTGGAAAACTCCCACGAAGCCCTCATTGTCAGTTAAAGACTCACTTTGTTAACCCTTATCAGCGTCATTAGCCGCTGGCTCAATAAGCAATGCGAATTGCATCAGACGTGATGTTTATCCCGACACGATAATGGCCGGGGTGTCGATAAACAAAAATCCCCACCGCGAGGATTGAAATACTTTCGTGCGCGTCCCGACGCCTTCAGTACGCTTCGATCCGGTCAAACGAATCGCGAGACCGCTCGTCCTTCGTCCGTGTTCTCTTTCTCTGTGATCCGCTCTCGGAAATCGCGATTCTAAGCCTCGATTAAAACAAAATGCAGTGCCGCAGAAAACCGGCTTGTATTTTTGCAGACGTTCGGAGTCACGTCTCCGTAAATCTTTGTCGCGTTTGATCACGAGCCGATCACGTCTTCCCAAGATCGTCGATTTCGTGATTCATGGTCGTCTGTCTGTGTGATTGTTATTCCTAAATACTCGGCTTATCGATCCGTTCGAAAGAAAAGTCACTTTCGGACGAAGGCCAGTTTCTTCTTCATTTTCGAAAGGTCTTCGAAAGTCGTACATACTAATCTAATGACTCGCCGCGGAACGAAAACGACTTTTTTAAGCGTGGCGCGATGATAAGGCGTTATCGGTGCAAAAACGGGGAGGAAATCTTGTCGCTAGACAGACAGTCGCCGGGGCAATACTACTGATAGACGGAGCAGCGCGGTCGTAAGTCGATTCACGATTCCCGGCTCGTTCAGTCGCCACTCGCCGCGGCAATACTTTCAACATGCTGGCGAGACATCTTCTCTTCATCGCGACCAGGCGACCTCGTAAGTTGAATATCATAAAAATCATCGTCGCTTCGCCTCGTTAAATCTCTTGCCTGCATTCTTACAATTACAAGTCCTTGTTTACGTAAACTTTAGGGTGTCTCATTACTGTCATCAGCTTAAACTTAACGTATAAACTTTTTTTATATTAACAATTGCGTGAGTTTAGTGTGTCAGTTTATATTTTATTTTAATAAACTTGAATAATTCACAAAAGATTTTTACATTTAAATTAATAAGATATAAAAAGTCTTAAGAATTTATTTTTGAATAATAAATTTAGGGCCATTTTTTTATATTTAATATATTTTCTATCTTTTTTATTTATTATAAAAAAACAATAGATTCAATAAACAAAATTATATTATTAATTAAAAATTATCATAAATATGAAGAAAAAAATTAAAGTTTACGAATATGTTCGCAATATTATATTCTTATCAACTTATGTTAATTCAATAATGCTTTCTGATGCATATTTTTCGACAAGCTCCTGTCCATTGTGGACTTAAATTTTTTTGATAACAATTTCAATTGCTCATAATTAGAGGAAGGGATTATGATCGTCTATATGTATTGTATATGTGCTGCATATGTGTATTGTATATGTTTGCTCCGAACTTGATTATTTCTTTTTGCGTTCATCGCGGCACCAAAATATTTTGTATCAGTACATATAACGCAATATTCGAGAAAAATTTATTAATATCCATTACGTAAACTGATAACTTAATGGACTTACAGAAAATATATTCACTGATATATAAATCGCTTTTTTATACAAATTTTATTTTTAAATATCACGAATTTCTTTTAATTATACTTGGAAAATATTCCTTAAAATAATATTTTTCAAGATTTCACAATTTAAGTAGATATCTCGTGTTATAATAATCGTTAGTTTTTGGACATTCTCTCTCGTACATATCGATGTACGAATAAATATTGTATTATATATCCAATATTTTTCCATTTTATTCTGTCTTCTTTTATGTGGAAGGAAATTAAGATATTTTACGGTGACAAATGAGATGTTTTCCCTTCCTTCTTTACGCTATCGATGCATCTTTAATTCCTATTAAACATTCCGCGAAGCACAAATGGGCAAATGGGACGCTAATTTGTCTGTCAAGTCCATGACTATCAGTGACATCACCCGAGAACATTAAGTGTCTGCATCGCGTGAGTGACCGCGCGTCGTTATCGGTATTGCAAAACCAACGCACGATTGCAAAGAAGTTCTACACAGATGGGAAAAGAGAAAGAGAGAGAGAGGGAAGGAGGGAGGCAAAGAAATTCCATGGAAAGTACCACAAATGTGAAAACACGAAGATAAAAGAAAGAAAGAGAGATGAAAAGGTCGATCCTCTCCTCCAGTATTTTATTCTTCGCTTAACAGTTCCAGCTTAACGAACAGATGTACAACGCAAATCGCGCGTCGTATACGCGCTTATCTCGAAAGCGGACTTTTATCAGCGCGCGTGTAACCGTGCACCGGCCCGATCTCCCATGAAGTGTGTAAACAATAATATTAGCGTTGATTGACAACAACGCGCAGATATACATATGCACAGGGCGAGATCTAAAAAAAAACGGTACGATAATCAAAGTTCTGAACGACCTGCGATGTCTCGATGAGGACCTTAGAGCAAATGATACCGATTGCGTAAAATTGCGGCCGAAGTTCGATAACGGTGGTTAAATCACAGTTAATTCGGTTGTGGTTTCCAAAACAATTGACGTAAGAGCGAGAGAGAGAGAGAGAGAGAGAGAAAGTCAGAAGGAGATGCGGGATGGAACACGTGTAAATCTCGCTGTCAAATTTAACTCCACCACGTACAGATAATTTTTATCTCCTCGCTGATTTACAGTTGTTTTCAGACACAGAATACATAGACGCTTAAGTGTGAGAGACGTAGTAAAAACAAATCCGTCCAATTTAGGTGTGCAAAAAAATCGCGTCGATGCCACTCGATGCGATGTAGTAGATGTGAATTGTTGCGAAATCGGCTGTAAACGGCCTGCAATCGCGGTTCTTATTTTGGTTAAGAATAAAAAAATAATTAGAGATACGCAAAATATTAAGTTCACGTAATATAATTTATGTAATTATAACTATTTACGCCGAAAGTATTATGTTAATCCACTTGTATAATCGCATACGTATATATGGCCAGTGACAAAAACGTACAATAATTTACGTTACTGTAGATCCTCGGATTTTGCATTAAACGAGCGCTAAGTCATCGAAGAGTATATAAACAACGTGTTTTTATATAGTCATCAGTTGGAAACAGTGGTCAATCTGTCATATGCTTATAACAATTATATTTATTTACCAGCATTACTCTCTCGTGAGTAATTATACCAAATTGTATTTGCTACCAATAATATTCGTATTTCATTAATGTTGTTACGTGTTTTGTGCACGTAAGAAATATTTTGCTGCGTCGTTAGAGACAGTGACAATTTACGATTGCAATGATTTTTTCAGAACGAAATTGATGAGCCTGTTATTGCTATGATGATTTACGCAATGTCTGCAGCTCTTGCGACGCAGTGTAAATATCATACGCCGTGAAAATAAATCCATAAAAAGAACAGGAGAGAATTAGTCATAGCCTATAAAACTATACTATCTGCTCGCGATAAATGCGTAATTCGTCGCAGCTCGCTTTTTATTTCGCGTCTGTCAGCGATATGTCGGAGAACGAGGGTAGAAAATAGTGATCCCGGTGACGTACGCGAGTGATTTCTTTCGCGTTGATAGCAATAAGAGAAAAGCCGTGTTTTTCATGCGTATAACGCATTCGAATGCGTAGTAACGCGCGGTTACGATATCCTCGATTTCCCCTTGTATTCCACGCGCGATTGATTGACAAGTAAACGCGTTAACCGAAGTTAAGTTATTGACCCCCATCTATTGACGATACGAAAATCATGTTATTGTATTTAAGTTACCTTAAATACAATACTTGGCTGACTAGAGGAGACCGGAGCTTGTTGGCACAAGAGGCAAGTTGGCATTGCGTTCCGCTTATGTATTTATGGTTGAAGAAACAGGAAAAATTTTACTGTATAATATCTTTGTTATAACATAGGTACTTTTCTCTAAGTTTTATATAAATCAAACAAATATTTAAAAATAAAAAAAGAGAAAATCTCTGATTCAAGAGAAAGTAAGCAAATTTTCAAACGCTTCAAAATTTCATATTAATGTTCTTCGACCGGAGAAAGGAAATCTAATTGTAAGTGACATATTATTAAGTTAAAAGGAAAATTTTTGTTCTTAAACGACACGTTATTTTAAATAATACATATAACAGTAATTTTTTATAAAAGTTCTTTTTACCATATTAGTACAGTTTAATCATAATAAAGAATTATTTAAAAGTCAAATGCCTAAATTGTGAAAACTGTGCCCACGAGCCCCGGTCTTCCCTATCTCGCCTGTTATTGTAATTAAAAATTTCCGCGGAATCTAAAAGTAACTTTTATTAAAATTATTTTTAAATTTTAGATATATACATATATATACATATATATATATATATATATATTTGTTATTGTTAATCTAAATTATATATAAATAGTACGTTTTACTTTGACTTAAAATGTAACTGATTTATGAGATAGTGACTTGGTAGTTTAATGACACATAAAATTAACCGTCCTCCGCGCGATCGAAAGTGTTAAGATCTTCACGTCCGATCTCGCATTGACTGATCACCGTTAAATATTCTACAAATAAACAGCCGTCGTCTTCCATAATCGAGATAACGGCAGTTCATGTTCCGGCATGCTTAGTGAAAACCCTTGTAAATGTGCCTTAACTTGCCGTGTCGCATGTTTGCTCGAGAGATGCGTGCTCGCCTCTCGTTGTAAGTAGCGTCTGTCACTAACAAGGACTAACTGTGGGTGCATAGAGCCCTCGTAGCTGCAATCATGGGTCTTAATCAGGGTGATACCGTGTTTGCATTTGTGCGCGTTTTCGTGATCGTAAAGTATTTAAAAATTATATACATTTTTTTGTAAAAGTTTATATATATGTATATATTTTTTTTCAATTAATGTTAAATATGTCAAATCAAGGTAAAAAGTTTGATCTATGATGGGTAGATTAAATTGATACAGAAGGAATTGATAAAGAATTGCATATTAAAGAAATCCAAGCAAATTTCACAGAGGATTAACGTGTCTGAAACGATTACTCGCTTCCTTCACTGCTGGTTGCTCTCATAACGAGTATTATACCACGTCTGTAATCCGCGCGATAGTTATCACGTCGACTTCGCTAGCGTTTAGTTAGCGCGATAACATCGTAAAAACGTGAATGCGACTTCGCGCGCCGTCTGCTTACGAGATAACGCGGGATAATAGCCATCAGTTTGTAAAGCGAGCCGCATATGCGGTTTTAATTGAAATCGCGGGAGGGGGGGAGGCGGCGGGATTTGAAGCGCACTTTACGCCGCGCCGCATTCCTCACGGTGTTACCCTGACACGGCAGTGTTGATTAATCAGCTTGCAACTAATATCGCGAGGACGTACTTACAACCTGTGGGCAGGGGAGCATGCACTATTCGGCGTGTACTGTACATGTGTATATGTGTAGAGCGTTAAGAAATCTATATTCGCTGTAAGCAACGTTACTATAGTATATGTACATTTTTTTCTTCTTGTACTCCAACAATGCGTTATCGCGACGCATCTTTATCTGTACATAAAAGTACAATATTACCTGTCGCCGACAAAAACAATGTCATTTTAACGTTTTAGGACTGTATGTGAATAGAACGTCATTTTTTTTGGAAAGCACTTGCATTTTTTTGTTCTCTCTTTTCTGTCTATATCGTCTCATCTCACCCATGTACACATCATATATGCACCTCTGAGATTGTAAATACTGCACCATCCTAAGTTCCCGCCTGTTTTTTATTTTTCGTTTTTATGTATCTCCATATATGTGCCTACTGTATAGTTTTAGAAAAAAAATGCACCTCACGCGCGTGTGGCACCCCGCACATAGTAACTCACACACATATCATAGTTCCATGCTCCATGTACCTGGTGAGTACGTTTTTTTTTAACTTCGTAGGTATTGCGCGTAAGTTTGATGTGAAAAGGTATAAATTTTTCTTTGTATATCATAATTTTATAATTCTTTGATATTTTTGTTACAAATTAAATTTTTGTTAAATATTAAATTGTATCTGCATGCATTATTTAATATTATAAATTATATTGCATTAAAATGTGCTGTTTATTGTTAATAATAATTTCCATTATTAATTATTATTAATTGTTAACAAATGTTTCCTTATTTCATTGAATATGAAAATTTAATAATTTAGATGGCTTATACAAAAATTAACATCAAACTCATGTGCTATATTTGACATTATGATTTTCTCACGTTTTGTTTATGGCATGCTTGTGTTTGTGATGCTTTTGCAACGTGGTCGCTTTGCTTGAATTAATCATTCACAGTTTCAATAATAATCTTGATGTAAATAATTTTAATATATATTTAAGTCTATATTTAACACATATAAAATCATAATCGTCAAAATTTCTTTTTCTCTTTTGTATAACTTCTAATCGCAAATATATCTCGAATAAAAATAATTATAACAATTATAAATTATAATAATATTGTGAGAAATAATCATATAATAAAATATATCATAATTATAACATATAGGCATGATTTAAATCTAACAAGTCTTCGAGATCATTTTGTAATTTTCTCGAGGAAATTAATCTATTTAAAAACTTTTTTAGAAGACAGTAATTCTTATACTGTACTTTATAAAGCTAAAAATATGATAATATCATATTTAATTTAAGAAAAACACTTATGCCCTATCCTATCACTTGCGAGAAACATAAAAATTAAAATTCTCTTGATTGTTGCAGACAATACTTTACTGACCATACCTCCGGAATCGATACCGCCTCAGGCGATCGTTCAACCGCCGCCCTACATCGCCCCACCAAAGCCCGACGATCGACAAAAGTCGTATAAGTACCAAGAGATCCTTAAGGACACGCAGCCACCGAATCTGCGAGCGTATCCTGAAAATGAGAAACAACCGCTCGCGCAGGACATCTTATATGATTCTCGTCGAAACATCCAACAATATGACAACATTCTCGATCAGCAAAGGATGACGAACTATGAATACCAGCAACGAGTTTGCAATTATCAAACGGTGCACATGCACAACGCGAGGAATCAGCAGCTCTGTTCACCAGCCAGAGATATCAATCAACAGCAGTTCTACACGCTGCCGACGAGAAGGCCTCAACGAGAGACCGAACCACCTCGTAGTGTCACGCCGGACATCACCAGGGGTCTCGGTCGCGGTTCTCTCAGCAGCATGCACATGCTGGCGAAACAGGGTCAACAGAGGGTCACGGTCGTGGAGAACGATCAAGCTCGACACATTTTCCACATGGACGCGGGGAGAAGAAATTCGGAGCAAGAAGAGACGAGAGGCAGATGCATGCAAAGTCAACCTCAGTCAGTCGTGGATGTTAGAAATAGGTGAAGATCGAAAAAAGAATTAAAAGAGAAATAGAAGAATTCCTTCTGTCATTTAATTGCGCTTTTAAATCAATTGCAAATTTTTTTAGCAAATATATAAAATATTAATCAGTATTAATATTAAAAGATTAATAATATTAATTATGTATTATTATCAATAATGCAGCAATATCAATGGTCGAGCGCATTAGTTATCTATTATAGATTTCTATCTTTATCGATACGAAAGATCGAGTGGAAGAAAGATTACTAACCATCAAGTCTATTGCAGCAATTGCATGACGCTAATTGCTATTGACCTTACTTTAAACGTTTCCATTGTCTTATGCACAGGTTCGCAACGCCTCTAAACCAAGCTGCACTTGGCTATCGATTCTTCGCATCTTCACCCGCCAACGACGCTCTTACGAAATCTCCTAACGCGGACGTTCTGAGGAATAATCCAATTTCGCCGATCGGCCACGGTGGCTACGGTAACGGCTTCAAATCGTCCACTCCCACCAGCCACCACGGACGATCGGTGCCAACCGTGGCGGAACGTCTAGCTCTGACCACCGCCGCTGGCAATAATTGCCCGTCGCCGGTACCAACGAGCAGTTCCTCGGGTAGGAGCACTCCCGTCCAGACCTCTTCCGGCAGGACGACGCCGACCAATTTGGTCCTGTCGCCCACCAAGAGCACTATGTCTAACGAGGAGCTATTCGCCGCGATTCACAAGTCCAAGAAGAAGCTCAACATCAAACTCAACGATAACGAAAACCTATCGCCATACGGATCAATGGACTCTCTGGTGAAAACAACGGCCGGCACCAGGCATAGTTGGAGCCCGGAATCTCAAAAAACTTCTTCAGAGGTAATTGTTAATATCAAAACTCGATTCGAAAATGGATCATATTTTTAATTTCTATATCAGAGAAATTGTTTTTTCATTGGTTATATTAATTTATATTAATATCGAAGATTAAGTATACGTTTATTTTACTACGAATTAATATTTTTGTTCTTTCTAATATCCTGCAGCAATTTGATTTACTTTTGCTACAATTCGTTAATTAACGCCCGACCAATTCCAGACGGTGCAATCGCCTACGTCGCGAATGGATTTCAAACGGTTGCTCCTTCAACAGAGTGTAAAGTCCAATCCCATGCGGTTATCGGCGGCGGAACAGCTAAAATTATCGCGTCAACAGTGTCAACAGCAGCAACAGCAATTGTCGCCGAACGCTCACCAGAGTCCCTTGGCGAAAGTCCTGAGTCCGCGCTCGGTCTGGAGATTCCAGACCCCGAGGACCGACGTCCTTTCGTCCACGATAATCGAGGACACCGCGGCGGAGGAGAAGGCAATGAAGCCCTCGCCGGAGAACACGTCTCCCATTTCAAGACTGAATTCTAGACGGCAGCTGGATCTTTGCATCGATCTACCGAGTCATCTGCGTGTCGCCGATTACAAGGACAACGCGGCGAACAACGACAGACTAACGGCGAACAAGACGTCTGCGAGTGAATTCAAGCTCGATCCCGCAATCAAATCGTTAAATCAAAACAACCACATTCGAGAATCAATCACGTCTGACGATCCCACACGAACCGCATCTCCTGCGAAAATCACGATAGCCGGCCAGGATATTTCGGCCGTGTTACCTCGAGACGATATCGCCAGCACGGCGATACGATATCCGAAGGACATGCTTCTCGAATCTAAGAGTCAAGACGCCGTGAGTGCTCTCGAGTCGAGGAGGATCAGCAATCAACTGGCGAGAGCGCAGTTCCTGGCCGGCCCACCCGCGAGCGCCAATCCGTCGCAGAATCTCTACTTCAGCAAGAGATTCAGAGCGCGATCGGAATCCCCGCGGCACGCGGTGACGCAAAATGTTGCACCGCGCAGCCCGAGTGCTCCTACTCTCGAAACCGCTCTGTGATCCGCGAACATGTCGATAATGAAGACAATGGCCTTGCACAAGTCTTTAGCTCTTCATTATTGTGACATACGACATGTATATTTGCACTTTAGCAAATTGAAACACCTAATAATTAATAAGTCAAAGTTTGATATACCGAATCATTAAATTGTAAGTAAAGTATTTATCTACAAGAGTTTGCTATAAATTAACCGATTTTGAACACATGAACCACAATGTCTATAAAAATCAAGCAGTGCTCTAATTGTGATAGAATTCCATTTTTAAATTTTTGTATAAAGTTTTTCTCGAAGGAAACTGACGTATTTAAAATTTTTCTATGACGATATCTTATCTACTTTAATGAAGAGTTAATAGCAAGGGCATCTGAATCTATATTTGGGAATTCCGACGTATTTATTAATCATGACCCGTTTGTAAATCGAATTTTTTGTCCTAATTAACTTGCATCTGCTAAGAGACACTAATTTTTAGAGACGCGAGATGGTAATAACGCGGAAATTAGTATTACCCAGTATTGCAAGGCTTCTTGCATAAAGTAGAAAAAAAAACATTTAACATACGAAAACGCCGTAACTATTACGTCACACTCCACTAATCGAATGTACAATTGATTTTACGACACGTAACGTTACGTTACGCAATTCAAATCACTCCGCTAAATCTCATAGACGTAATTCAATCGAATAATAAGCAATAAATAGGATATTCTCGACGCTAATCTTCTCAATCGAGTGCCTATTTGATATAATCATTTTATAAAGAAGCATTTTGCGTGTGTATAACACTGTAAATTTAGTCTCGAATTAAGACGCAATGTCGTAGATTATCAATGTATCGATGTATTCGATATTTTCTTATTCTTTATGCTAAGCGAGCCTTTTTTTTAACAAAGAAAACGATTTGATCTTCGCACGATCTCAATGCTCACAATCAGACGCTCTTGAAAACAATAAGGGGATGAGATGAGTACTCATATAATCTCATCTCAATATATTCTTAAATGCAGGAAATGCGGATGCATTATATTCTCTGCGATAGTAATGCACAAGATTTTGTTCACGGAGCTCATTTTGCGACACGAAGAAACTAGCGACGGAGCTCTTTCGTAGCTCTAATAAGAATTTTATCGTTACCTTTATTCAAATCGAAATATTATGCAGTATTTTATAATCACATGGGTTATACAATATTAATTTATTCACGGGAGTTAAGAGGAATATACCGATAGCCCAGAGTTTCGCATGAAAATTAAGCACGATGAATTATAAATCGCTCATTGTGGATGATAGAAATTGACGAGTTGAGTGCAGAATTATTATTACCGATTCTAGAGATTACTCGCTAATGGTTTTGGATTGTTATCGTAAAATATCAGTACAAGATAATATTTATTATCTTCTCCGACAATTCTCTTCCATTATAAATTTTATATTTTTTTGAAAATGTATCAGATTTTTTATACAATTGGAATTGTAAAAAAATGTAAACTTTTTCAATATTTTTTAAAATATTGAGTAAATATACATTTTTTACAATTTTAATTCGTATAAAAAATCTGGGAAATTTTTAAAAAATTTATATAGAAGTTCTAAGAAATTATGTAAAACATTGCAAAAAAATGTAGACTTTTAAAAAAATATAAAATGTTTACATTTTTTAAATAATTCTTTATACATGTGACTTCTGAAATATTTTAAGATCTTTCATTCTATAATTTCTGAAGAAAATTTATAAAATATGAAAAAGTTTAAGAGATATCTTTTAAAAATATTTATAAATTTAAAATATAAAAAATATTAGAGACATTGCGTACACAAATTTTTTGCTAGAGAAACAAGAAAATATAAATTTTAACTGGACATGCGATTTATCATTCATTGTGCGAGGCTCGTTATTGTGCATCGGCAAGTTCGGATAGCCGTTTACCGATGACGTCAAATCGGGAGTTTAATCGTTAAGATATTAATTTATTTGTCGACTTCGACGACAAGGTAGCCCAACTCCCACCCTAAAAGGCTCGGTTCCACAAATGTAAAATTAACTAATTTAATCTCGGTTTAGCTTACTGTTTATCTCTTTCTAATTCTTAGGTTAGAAAAAGATAAAGCGAGTTAAACTTCGGTTAAATCGATCAGTTAATCGTGAATTGTGAAATCGGGCCTACAAGTTCGCTTCGGCGAAAGTTGTACATATAATACGCGAGCAGCGTATAATCGCAAATTATAAGTCTCGATCGCTTGCTAGTCTAGTCGGGGTAGAATTTAGTACGTATATATATATCGCGTTTTGAAGATTTTTCGGGCGAAAAAGTGCCGTTATTAATCGCGTGCGTATATATAATCTATCACGTAATCGGATTTTGTACGAATGGGTGAATATAGCGAGAATATACAAATATATATATATATATATGTACGCGAGAAGAGTAATATGTTTAGCGTAATACAACAGAGTTGCCTTAATTAAATTATTTCGAATTATATACGCCGAGCGATCGTCGACGGCGCGATTGTTTACGGTCGCGCGAGGGACGGGATAAGTAATTTTGCAAAATGTAACCCGCTAGGTCTTAAGCTGGAAAGTGTGTTTTGTACTTTGCTCAGAATAAACGAAAATATTTCGTGAGACCGGGTGAGTCTTCCTTGCCCCTACTTTTGCGCACATAGCTATGAATTTATCGCGATATCCTTGAAGGCGACCGCGATAAACAACGTCGGTGTCGCTAAATGCAAGCGCTCGACAGCGACGAGTTTTAATCCATCGCAGGAAGGAACATTTTGACATCTTACCTTATCATTGCTGAATAAGCGTGATAAAATGTGTATTCTCATTCACCGCGCGAACTGCACACGGCGCGTCTGCGTCTCACGGTTGCCATCTCGAAAGGGTCTCGCTGCGCGCGACAAGTCGCCTCCTCTCTGGAAATTCTGGAATGCATTTTATATTGAGTTTCCGAGATCGAGGCATGCATTTTCGACCAATCGAAAGATTATGCGCTCACCTATCCTACTGCACGGCTGAAATGTGCGATGCGCGAAAACATCGACGCGAATTATCGTCAAAACGAGCGAACGAACGAGAGCGGAGAGCGTTGCCGGTCGCGTCGCGCGTCGGTCTGAAGTGCGCGGTTAATGGTTATTAAAGTAGCGTACACACGACGCGACCGAGGACAGGCGCAGCCTGTGATTGGTCAGATTTAATAGTCATGTTTGAAAGATTACCGCTTGCACAAAAAGCTGCAAAATTTTTTTATTACTGTGAATTCTTCCCAACATAAAATCTTGCAAGTCACACAAGTTAAAAAATATTAATATTCTGTAGAGATAATAAATTTACAGTTACAAGAAGCATTTACTGCAACAAATTCCGAATTTTATGAACGCGAATAGCCAGTTGCGTAGTGTGTAAAATATACGAGTACCACTATTTTGAATAAAATATTCATAAAATATAATTTTAATTTAATTTTATAATTAAAGAAATATATTAAAATAAGAAGGATATATTAATGTACATAGTGTTAAAAATCTGAATTAAGAATATAATATTTATGCTTTGTGACAAGAAAAGTATGTATCACCAAAAAGTTCTAATGTCACCAGATAATTTCCAAGTCGTGATTAATACAAAACACAGAAATTATCTTCATCATGTTTTATTTTCATTTTATATTTCTAAGTAACGCTGCTCAACACCGAGCTTGAAACTCGCAATTGTAATCATACAAAGTACATAAATTGTGCTGTTTTAGAACGAACAAAATTATCGTATATCCGATACTTTTATTATCAAAGGCACAATAACGAAAGAGCGAAAAACATTACATTTTGGAGATCATTAAATAAAAAAGTTCCAACACAGATCTTAATTTTTTACAATATTCATTGTAATCATTTGAAAATTAAATAATTAAGACAGTATATATTAGTACTTTTAAGAAAAAATACACGTCTATTTTCATATATACTTCTGCTATACTTATTTTAATATTTGAGAAATATATACAGGAATAAAAAAAATTTCGAGAATAATTTTATTCTTATGTAGATGTATAAAGCTTTCCTTCAGGCCAAAAATTTTAGTTACGCCCTTGTACAAAACTGTATCGTTTATTGTATTCCTTTTGGATATATATCCGCAATTTTTACTTCTCTCGTAACACAAAAAAATTATTTTTTTCTGGGATATTAATATATTGCACAAAACGATCAGAGGAAATATATTTTCAAGCTAGAAAACTTTCTAAACGTGCGTTCCGTTTCATGCATGACACGCATGATGTATCATCTTATACTTGTTATTCACTGAATGTTGAAACAAGGATAAAATAATATATTATATTATGCGCATCATGCATGAAATGGAACGCATCTTAATTATATCTCTGCATTGAAACATACCGTTTATCCCACTCTTTTAGGTATATGTCTTTTTAGTAAAATTCTTGATTATCACACACAAAATTAAATTCTTTTTCTGCGGCATGTTAATACACTGCTCAAAATAATAACAGAATCACATTTTTGAGCAATTCTACTTAAATCAAATGTCAACAAAAACTACGAAACACTGCAGCAAATACATTGTTTACATTAATAAATATAATTATTAATGTAAATAATGTATTTGGTTATTACTTCAATATCTTAAATATATATATATATGTACATATATAAACTAAAGGATATTTTCAAAGATTATTACTGTTACATCATATGTATTATGAAATAATAACATTTACGAGAAGCGATTCCCCAATTATTTTGAACAGGGTATCTAACGAACAAATATAACTGTATTAGTACACCGCCAATAATATCAGCAATATAATTCTACTTTTACAAAACATTTATCTTATTCTTTTTTCTTCTTTAAATTACATATACATAAATACTATGAAAAGGGCATGTCTCGGATATTAATTTACATTTCGCGTTATGCAATTTCCTTCATTTGATCGAGTTCTGCGATCCGATTACGGGAAAGATTTGCGTGATTTTGCCAATCCCCTTGGTACGCCCCTCCCTGAACAACAGTCGCATCCCGACGTGGAGATACTCCGGATGACTGACGAATCTAAATAACACAGAAGCGGTGTCGTTCGTCTGCAGCCCCCTGTCATTCGCATCCATTATTCCCTCGATTACGCAGGTCTGCCTCACGTTACCCACGTGTACCGTCGTTTGAAACCCGGGAAATATCGCGGTGGCGTGATATACTATTAATACAGTCGCCTGAAAATACAGTATTTAAACTTTTTATCATCTTTATAGAAATAAGATAAGCTAGGTAAACTCGACCACGAGTATAAATTTCAACTGCAAACTGGAATAAAATCTATTTTAAGAACTGATTTCAAAAACAAAAACGAAATTTGTCATGACAGACACGGGAGAGACACATTCACTTCTTGAATCAATAAAAATAAGAGTTTGTACTATTGTCTATTAACAGCAGAAATATTCTGAATTATAGCTCGTCATACACATCAAAATTTCGCCACATACCTGAAAGAAGAGTGTTGCATGAGGTCGATCACGCAGAGAGACCAAAACCATTCCCGGACGAAGATGCGGCAGGGGAGGGCTACGATTCGTCGGTGGTGCTAGAGTCAGACTAGCACTCTGTGACGCTCTAACTAAGCAGCACGGGGCTTTATTACGATGTAGACTAACTACCTTCACTGGGCTAAATTCTCCGTCCGGCAAGGGTCCTACTAATAAACGAGTTCCCGGTGCGATCGCTCCCTTAACAAGTAACCCTCCTAAAACTGGTTGTGTCAAACCTGCTACCCTATATAAAGCAAAATAACACATAGTCATTTTTTTTCGTGTAACGTTTACGAGATATTTTTAAGGGCTCTTTTTTTCTGCGAGATATTAATATAAAAATTATAATTATTCATATAATTCTTAAAGTATCAAAAACTGTAAAATTAGCTTTATTTATAAAACATTTAGAAATATAGAAAACCGATTGCACACGTACCTAAACGTTTCGTCAATTTGAAATAGACACGATTCCGGGTCCCAGTCGATCGAATTCGTCTCGTAAGGTGACAAATTTTTGATAAACATAGTCAATTCCTCGAGACCCTCACCGGTAACGCAACTGACACTAAATACTGGTATCACGTCGGACGTGTAGTCCCATGACGGTATGTCATTATTGCTAAACAGTACTAATTGCTTAGGATAGCCCTGCGTCATCATGGCGTTCCCGAGTTGAGCTAGAGTCTCAGACATGTCGCAGAATCCCAAGTCGATTTTATTCACGACTATGAAGAACGGAAGTTTTAACGCTAAACAGAGAGCCATGTGTTCCTGCGACGCTTCGTTCAATGGCGGCGCTATCACTAGCATAACGTGATGCGGCGAATATCCTGCGTAAGGAAGTATAATTATTTTAAAATAATTGTTTTTCAGATAATTTCTTATGCAAGTTACACCGGAAACAATGATCTATTACGAGATTATTATAATAAAATCAGATCTCGCGAGATATTAAGAATATAAAAATTATTTAAAAAAAAGTTACACACCTGTCAGCCCAAGCACCGTCGTCCTCAAGTACTTTCGATGTCCTGCTAAATCGATAAACGTAACTACTTTCGACGCGTGCTCGCATATCTCTTCGGCCGTCGCCATCTCGGCATAGTTCAAGACGTGACCCGCGCCATCGAATCCGATAATCTCGTGCGATATCGAGGATGTACGACCAGTCTTTATCTCGTGCAGATGACGCAACATGTTGAGCCTCGCTCTACCTCTACCATTGTCCAGCTCACCCTGCGTCAGTACCCCTACACACATACACACATAGTTTCGCATACAATCCTCGTAATCGTATTCTCGGTGTATTCGTCGTATAAGGTAGACTGCGAATAGCAGAGCGTAGCGTAGACTGTCAGTGACATTTCTCTACCTTAAATATCCTCTGCTAATCCTCTCACCTAAGAGAGTCGACTTTCCAGCATCCTGCGCCCCGGTGACCGCCAATCTCAGATCTACGATACTATCCTGATCCTCTCTGTCATCCTTTCGTAACTTTCTTACCAGCACTTCAGCGACTTTCTTTTCCTCCTTATTATTATTATTATTTTGCGACATCAAGGTTTTACTCGCAGAACTCGTGGCTATTCGCTCGCGTAATATTCTTATAGTAGCGCCCAGCCTGGAAGCCATGTCCTTCAGCGTCTTTAGAGACGCTTTCATTTCGTCTTTTGTTAAACCCGCCAATCTTCCATTGTCCTCCACTCCTACATATGCGATAAAGAGATTAAGAGACAAGCCAAAAGAAAGTAATGCAAAATTACGATTATTGCAATTATTCATACCGATTTGATAAATCGCTTCTCCGTGTCCCTCTCTTAGCCTCCATTTCATTTGGGTGACAAGATGTTCAAAACGTTGACTAGATGGATTTATCAATTTTAATTTGTACTCTATGTTTCCTTGTTCTGGCTCCGGCGGCAGTCGGTCCTCTTGATCCTCATCCGCACTAGAAGTGTCACAGTCCGACAATCCGTTTCCCTCATTCTCAGAGTCGTCCCACCGCCTCTTCCTTAAATCCTTATCGTTTTGTGGATCAAACAGTTGTAGAAACGATTCCATATCTGCAATCATAGATATTACAATTTTTATGACTACTTTCGTAACTATATAAAATTATGAAAAAAATATGAATATCTTTATTCATTATTTTTATATTTATAATAGAAACTGCAAAAATTTTAATAAAGTTAAAAAATAATCAATAGATTAAAAAATATCTATAATTTTTGCTTTGTTACAATAATTTCTAGAAATTTGTAAAAATAAAAATTTCAGAAAAAATATTTAAAGAATATAATATGATTGCATGCAAAGGATATGATATGAAATGTGAAATAATTTCTCATGACACAATGTAACACCACACTAAATTGAAATTACATCATGTATGTATATTCATGCAATATCTCGCAATTTTAATTTTAATGTTTTCTATCCTACTTGTTTTTATATTTTTTTAATAAAAAACATTTTTCTTTTAATACAAAGGAAATTAAACAACTTTCTGTCCAAGAAAAGATCATCTAAAGTCAAAACTTTTATGAATTTCTTCTTTGGCAGAAATGATGCAATATCTGTCTGAAAGAGGAGGAATCTATTGTTATGTCCGTCAGCTGTTTTCTTCAAGAAGAATACAGTTGTTCTTGTACATACCTATTTAAGGCTTATCAATAAGGAAAGTTTTTGTGCTACATGGAAATCGTTACACTTCTGTCCTCAAAATAAAGTAACGTACTTTTGGAAATTCCCGCGAATGTATGGATGTGTGCGTGTAAATATATAGATGTACTGCCCGTTTCATCGAGTGGTCTGACAGATGCAGGTGCGTGTGATGTTGTGACACATTGTGCTAGAACAAACAGTGCCAATGTCAACACAGATAAGGCGTGCAGACGCGACAGCGTGAGAAACGCGGGCTCGCCAATTTCGGGAGAGATAACGAGACGGCCGATCGGCCGCGTCGAACAGCTGTTTCGAAAGTAAAAGTGACAGAAGGTAGGAAAGAAAGGGCTCGCGAGGGAAATACTTTTCGCGCCTCGGCGACGAGACTCCTGGGGGTCGCACTCACCGCATCTTCCGGATTCCCGTCCCCGGTTCAAAAATCCCGTCGCGATCGTGCGTTCAGGTCGGCGGCGATGCCATCGAAGTCACAAGACATGATAGACTGCAACAATTCACCGCGCGACTTTCTTCTTTTTCTCCTTCCTCCCTGCAACTAGGTCACGAACTGTCCGTCATGTTCCGATCGACCGCCGAACGGCGAGATATAGAACGGAAACTCGCGTTTTGCGAGCGACGCCAAGTCACCAGCCCCGGGATGCGGTCGACACGAAATTCCGACGTCCAATAGGCGAACGCATTTCCTAGGGACACTAACTCGCCTCTCTTATTTCCCTAAAAAATACGTCTCTGCTATTGGATATCGAGCGTATTCGAATGAATTTGATATGTCTTAAATTAATTTACAAATATTTAATTTAAATTAATAATCAATTTTAAGTAACAATCAAATCTTTTCATACAAAAACTTTGTTAAATTTTTTATGTCAGTTAGCTAATGTAAAATTAATAAATAATTAATTAAAATTATTTGGATAACTATATTAAATCTTTTTAATTAGACTTCAAAAAATCTATACAAAAATTTAATAATATTAAATAAAGTTATACACATATTAACTTATATTAATTTATATTAATTTATATTAATTTAATTTTTAATTACACCTACGATTTATTATTTTCATGTGTATTACGCTATCTTTTATAATATTTTTATTACAATTATCGCCCGATAATGGCAATTACGTTGTCGTATCTTCTTGATGCTCGTCCATTTCCTCAGGTTTTTCTTCGTCGTCCGATTGCGATTCTTCTACAGCAATAATGTCCGGGAAATATAACTTCGATTCTTCAATAGCCTTTTCTGGATTTTCACTTACGTGAAACGGTCCGATTCCGGCGAAGCCCAAAAATGCTTCGCAACCTACTTTCTTCACGGTACAGACGAATATTTCGTAACTGCAATGTGAAAAAGTGAAGTAATTTAGCGCGCAAGTAAATAAGTTGTACTTTCTCTTTTACAGGATATCAAAAGATTAAATAATACGATACAACACACACACACATATATATATATATATATATATATATATATATATATACGTAGTCACTTTTTTAAGAACTTAAAAAAATCATTTAAATTCTTTTATGGTAAAAAAATTAATGAGAACATGAAATTAAAAAAAAAACCATATATATCTATAATATAATTTAACAAATTTTAGAAATGACAATAAATTGATTAGATTTGAGTGATAAAATATGAATTGTAAACTCTAAAGTCTAAAGCTCTTAAAAGAATTGTTCTGAATTTAAGATTAATATCTTTAAGTTCTGAAAAAATAAAATATATTATTAAATTGTTTTAGTAGAGTAAATAAAGGCACCCCGTTTTTTCTTCTGTACTCATCTCGAATGCCTCTATACTTTTAGCAATAATCTTAGCCTCAGGCGGTTTATCATATTCAAATATACCAAAATTAATGACATCATCGTCGAACATTTCCAGTACCATTTTTAAATCATTTTTCCGTGTATAATCGTATTTGAAGACGGTTATTGGCACTTTTGTCATTTTATCTTCGTACTGTGGGGAATTAAAGTAGCAAGTGATATAATTAATTAATTAAATTATAATTAACTTAAAATCTCTCAAAAATGATTATTGAATCATAGAATTGTAATTAGATTTAATTTTATAACTTTATGTACAATTATTATTTAATTCTCAATTCAAGCGTCTTTCAAAAATCTTAGACAAAATCGATGAATGTAAGAAATATTATTCACATATATTTACCGGATACGTCGTATTAGTGTAAACGGTGAATATCGTGCGAAAAACAACTCCCTTGTTCCTGGGATTCGGAGGTGTCCAGATAAAAGGAAACTTTTTATTTTCCTTATCAGGAACTTCATAAGCTGGACAATGTTTTCCGGCGTAGCTACATAAAATAAAGATTAATTGATTTTAATAACAATTAAATATATACTGATAGCCAATAATTTTATTGTCTGTGTTGCTTTAATTATGGAAGAATACTATGACGTCAGTTACACTTTATAAATTTTATATTACAAATTTGTGTGCATCAATCAAATAATATTATACTAAAAGTGCGCGTACCAATCTTCATTTAAATTATCCTCCGACTCTGGTACCGTCGATTCGTTGAACAAGATATTGCATAGATGATCATGAACGTCCAGATTCTTTTTTCCTTCGACGATCTTCAGTCGCATGAACATACATTTGCCGTCGAAGAGCAATTGTTTGCTAGTTTCCGTAAATCTGTACGTAGACTGCACATTAAAAAATAGCACAGTATATAAATTTTCATTGATATTGAAACAAGGAGTTTAGGATATAGAAACAAGGATTGTAGTAAAGAAAATTAAAAAAAAATACTTCATCGAGCATTTGCTGGAGCACTTCCTCGTTCATTCGTTTGCGCAGCTCTTGCTCCACCACGTAGTTCTCTGGTAGCAATTCCTCGATTAGCTCCACGTATGGCGGACTCGTTTTCTTATCTCTTCTACGTCCCTCTTCATCCTTAAATATCCAAGGAAATAGCAACAGACAAGTCTCGTTGCACAACGATGTGGTCAGATGCAGCATCTCCGCCTCGTATCTCGCCTTAGCTTCGGCCACTGCGATAACGATTTTGTTGCTACATTAAGTAATAAATGTGATTCCACGCAATTTCCAATCTAATTCATATCAATTTTATATGTTTGAATTTTTGCCTCAGTAAGTGAAAGTTCAAGTGTTTAATTCGATAATTTCTTTTTACCCTTTCGAGCCTTCCTTGCTGTTTCTTTGGCTATTTTTGCTTCTTCCTGAATTTTCAATCGTATTACCTCTTCCGGACTCATCTCGAAAACGTCTATCGAAAATCTATATTTTAAATAAATAGATATTAAAATTTTAAAGTAATAAAAAAAATTATATTGGACAATATAACTATCGTACAATCAGTTATAAATGCTCGACCAATATATATTTTACAAATGGATTCTTTAATCAATATAAAGAGGATTTATGCTTAAATAAAATGTCGAGGTATCAGCGAATATTAAATTATAACTGGTTAAAAATAGTTAAATACTTTCACGTGAGTAGCGTCATCGATCGTTTCAACTTACTCGTGCTCGTCGCCCTTTTGAACTCTCTCAAGCTCGGTCATCAGCATTTTTACGAACTGCGGGCAATGCGCTCCGAACATTAAATTTATCATTCGACCTTCCTGCAAGAGACAATCAGATTTTCAACTGCAATAATTATTTCTATATACAACATAAATTATATATTTGATACTTGCGTGAATAAACATCCATATCGGTTCGCTTTTTCCTTGAAACCTCTTTAAATCGGTAACACGATCGCAACTCGCCTAGAAATAAAGTAAAGCTCTGAGAACATTTTCATATGATAGATTTATTTAAATATTGAAGATAAATTTAATAAAGAGTAATTTCTATATACATATGATGGATGAATGTTATTTTTTTATTATATTGTTTCTACATTGTTTTATTGAAATAAATATAATAAGTTCTGTATCTGGATTTTATACTGTTTGAGAATGTTACTTATTACTTGTATATATTTATTTTTATAATAATAATTCTTAGATTTTTTTATGACAATTACCGTGGCATAACTCAATGCGTCGCCTCCGATCTCCATTTTTATCTTCTTCAGAATGCTCACCATGCCTGTGCAAGGACCACTCCAATCCGAGTACACGTCCACTACTGAATAAGGACATTGCATCGAAAATATATTTTCATAATGCTCTTGTCATGAAAATATTGACCATTCGTATTTGCGTAAAGAAATTTGTAAAAATTACTCGCCTACTAAGCCCTTCCGTTGCAATACCTTCGCCCATTCCTCGTCATTAACAACTTCCGTCTGCAATGCCGCGGGTGCCGCTTTCTTCGCCATCCTTCTCGTCGTCTTTGCTCCACCCTAAGACAAAATTTAATTAATTAGCTATATTCCTCAGACTTTGTTGACAAGTTTGCCTTCACAGTAATAATTGTACACCACAAAATTTAAATGTAAAAGAAATCTAGAAATTGCTAAAAGTATGTGAGATGTTTCTCACATGTTTTTAGATTTCTCTCAGATCTTTAATCTTTCGCGAAAGTTACTTGGTACTATCGTAATTTTATTGCGCAAAAGTTATTCGGTATTATCGTAATTTCATTGCGCAAAAGTTATCCGTTATCGTAATTTCATTGCCATTTATATTAAAAACATTATATTCTTTTTTTTTAACACTTGGCTGGCGCTCTACCCTTTTATTGCGCAACATCTTCGCAGCTAATTAAAATAAGATCCCGTCAGTCTTATAGGCGATCTATAAATCACGGCCGATTTTCTTCGCGAGAAAAACGAGAAATTCGATTTCCGAGCAATTGAAGTATCTTCGGCGAGGTGGAGAGAAGTACTGCATTAATCGCGTATATTTTCTGTTGGTTTGCACGGGCTCGGCTTTCGGGCTTCCTTTCGGCTGCACGGGGACATCGGCGACATGGTAGGCACGCGATATAATATAATGATTAACGAGCTCATGATACAAATACACGCACAGATAATTATATACGGTGCAGGAAATCCAGGGGTTCCCGCAAAGGTAAGGAAGTTCTTGTGCATAATCGCCTGTCATAAAACATTAACCCGAATATGCCTTAAGAAAAAGACTCATGCCAAAGAATGAACGACAGTAACATTTCAAATCATGAAATCTATATTGATTTAACATTTTTTTATATTCTTTAAGAATAGAAGTAGCATTTTATATGACCACAGTTAGCCATTTTATTCATTAATTCAATTTGTTGAAACATAGAAAAAAAATTATTTTTACAGTATATTAAATAATTATAATACATTAATTCTATTTTACAAACATGTAGAAAACGTACAAGCTTGTATTGTGATTTTTAATATAAAATAATATTATAATATATTATTTTTAATATATTATAATATTTATTATATTATATGAGCCTCTTACAATTAGAAGTCAAATTGATCAACTTTGCGTACGTTTTATAAATTATTCTTAATTTTAAATATGTATAATTAATTTGTGTGTGTAGCTTAATTCATTATTTATCTCTATTTTTTATTTTACTCAATTAGTTTGACTTTTAAAAGACTTGTACGTAATTTTTTTGCGTTTTAAGCAAAATAATACATATAGTGCTATAAAAATATAGCTGTATCTGCACGTACTGAAAAATATTGTATCTTATACGTATCGTATACGTAAGATATCTATGTAATGATATCATTATGTATATATATATCTGAACAACAGATACGTATAATAACAGATATGATTAATAGGTGAAGTTGTATATATACGACAGGAAAATTACAGGGGGCACACATTGCAGAGAGTCGTTAAATTCCGACACGACCCCCGAGGTGCACGAAAGGATTATTAATCTTTAACCCAAATTCGTTCATAGGTATCACAATCGATGCTAAAGCAACCAAGGGCAGAGACATCGTCGACACTCTTAATACTCGTTAAAAATGCCACATTTTTAAAAGCAGGAGGTTCGACCTTCGGAACGAAAATCGAAGTTCAATTCACCGGCCGAGGATAGTTCGATGGAACGTCTCCGTCGCATCGTGTTTAGATGTTTGGAGAACCTCGCTGGAAATCGATTGCGTGCCACGACCGATATTTTTCCTTGACAATTAGGACAATGCTCGGGCCAACAATTAAAGCGCGACTTACACATCAATAAGTTACACACGATCTTTGTTGATTTCTACCCATTTCTTGGTTGCCACGTAACGATTAGCTAGAACTAGCTTACAAAGCGATTTAGTGTCCACGGCTTGACACACATATATAATACATTTATGCGAGTTCTGAAAAATCGGAGTGTCTATCCCTGCTTAAAGATTCGATAGATAATGATATAAGAAATAGATATAAATTTTTTTTGAAATTTTATCTAATTTTATGGTAAAGTTATATCGTTTCAATCGGACTCATTAAATAAGCTATTATAGAGAATTAAGATATCTATTTCTATTGTTTCTTATAATACCTAGTATATCTTATCTTACTTAAATATTAAATACAAATCTGGACGTGTACGTTTTTTTTATATATTTTATCGAGTTATACCTATATCTAATTCAAACTGAAAATTATAATTTATTATTATATATTTTATTATATTTGTAAGCAATATTAAAATTATTTATACATAAAGACACAAAATTTCTAAAATTAAAATATTACATAATAAATCATATATAATATCGAAAAAAAATTGTACGATAATAGATATCAATTTTGTCTAAATATATGGTCAGAGAAAAACATATATATTACTTAAAAATAACTTTTAAATTAGATACTATGTAAAATAAAAACGAATAGAATAAACGAGTAGAATAAAATAATATCATAAATCTGATATTTACGAATAAAAAAACACGATATAGAATTATGAAGGTTTCTTATCTAATTCTATTGGACCTTTTAAGCAGGGATACGTTGTGTGCGTTTATGAAAAATATATATATAATTGTATAAATACTAATTTTTTTTCAATAATAAATATAAAAATAATTAAATAAATATACATAATTTCCGAATAATACCTGCATATAATAATTATTTTTTTGAATAATTATACATCAGGTATTAAATTAATATAATTATTAATTTGAGATACATTATAATATATAATCATATATATATATGACAATTATTATTTTTAATAACCGAGGTATTACATAACAATTAAAAGCTTAATATCTAAACATCGAAAATATTTCTGAAAGTCCAAAATTTCTTGGCAGCTGGCGAAATGTTTTTTGAAGATTTAACGTTATCATAGTTTTATTCTTATATGAATTCATTTCATATATGATTCATGATGTGATCACTTTAGTCGTCAGATGGCATTGGGCATGGCATTGGGGATGCATTTAAAATGCCGTACAGTACAGTGTACACATTTCAGAGTATTTCCAAGTACTAAAAGTATTTTGAGGCTCAATTTATTTAGCGATTAATATAAATATAAAGTAGGTTTTTACGAGAATATACTGTGCTTCGCAGTAATTCAGAAGATCATCGAATTGCGATCGTCGTTTCTCTGCATCATCACTTGCGAATTACGGTAACTGTTATATATCGATCTTGATTAAAGCAACAATTAAAGAATTGCTAGACTCATTAGTTTGTATTAAAACGTATGGATTAACATTTTCTTTAAGATAATATATTGATAAATATAATATGCTGTTAGAAATATGTGAATCGAGTTTGCAATTTTGGAGGTTAGAATCTTATCATAACAAATAATTGTTATTTGCACGCGTGCGCAGCTGATCACGTGTTGATGCGATTGTTATTTAAATTTTAATGCATTTGTAGCCTATAAAAATTTTGTATTAAATTTAAAATATATTATAATTATTCGATTATTAAATCGAACGTGTTAGAATTAATTGAATTTTTTGTTTTAATTGTAGAAATAATATTAATTCATAATTGTTTGTTAATAATAATAATAATAATACACTAGCTATTTTATACTTGTTCGTTTAAAATCCATTTGATGGAATTTTTTTTAACGGATTGATAATAATTATCGACTAATTAAGACGTATCTTTTCACATGAATAAAGCGTACTTTCATACGAATAATAAGAGAGTTCAAAGTCGAGAAGTCAACATGTTAAATAGCGGCGAACATAAATCTTATAACAAACATTCATATTTTACAGATATGTTTGGGAAAGAAGCTATTAAACTCATAACGGAGCTCGATATGCATGAAGATGTTCGACCGTTTAATGTAAGCATTATAAATATTGTTATTGTTACGTGTACAATCGTAAAGTTTTTTTTAATTTACAGGAACAGGTGATGCGACAAGTTTTTGAAGAGATGCAAACTCTTTATGAAGCCAATTTGGTGGACAGGTATATTATATGTATGGCAGTCATGAAAGTTACTTTACAGTTATTAAAAAGTTACACGAAAAGTAAAATCAAGAAGAAAATAAAACATTATGCATAATCAATGTCACATACATGATGGCGGTATAATTTAACGAAATAACATTTAGCTGTCTTGTAATAAAACAGTGGAAACTGCGTTTCACTAGCAATTAAGTGTCGATCTTAATGAGTTTTCCCTGCTTTTTGCAAATGTTTCAGCAATGCCATAAAGAACGGAAACACCACGTTATTGCCGTCGGTGCATTTTCGCCATACGGCTCTGCTCAGGAACAAAAGGTGCGTGCTGGCGTATCTCTATCATCGGATCAAGCGATTACGACAGATGCGTTGGGAATTGGGCAGCATCTTGCCGACCGAAATAACCGCAAACTTGCTGAATGCAGAGGTGCACTGGTTCCAAAATTACAACAAATCTCTGGCCACCTACATGAGGTCGATAGGCGATGATCATGGATTAAATCTGACTGTGAACATGAGCCCTCCAAAGACACTCTATGTCGAGGTAAATATTTTTCTCCAATACATACTATAACGCAGATTCATCGTGCAAGAACATTTTTTTTCACTTTCATCTGAATTTTATGCAATCTTTCTTGCTTCTTGCTTTACATGTATACGTATTTTTACCCTATATATTACAGATTGTAGATATAAAATATGATATAAAATTTTATTTTAAATGATTTGTTTAATTTAGAGATTGTTTTATTTAAAAGAAAATCTATTTTTTGGATATGTGTAATACATGTGCAACACATAAATATCTAAATGTATTTTATAGGTATATGTATTATATTATAGTTATAAGATAGTTATAGATTTTATGTATTGCATATATATATATATATATATATATATATATATAATAATTAGATATTAATAATTAGAGGATGATTTTTCTTTTAGGTGAAGTGTCTAAGTGATTTCGGTAAGTTGGAACTTGACGACGGCGAAGTTATTACATTAAAAAAAAATACATATCATCTGTTGCCAAGAGCCACGTGCGAGCCGCTTATCAGACAAGGCATACTCGAGCACCATAATGCGTGATAAAAAAGATACCTCTCCTTATTTCTTTTATACTTTTATGTGTCACACAACACTGCCATCGTTGCCTTATGCATTTCAACTTAAAACATTTTATCTATATATATTTATCTATATGTGATCATATCGTATTAAAGAAATAAAACAAAGATTTTTTTAGTATAAAAATGAAGTATAAATGCGAATTTTATATCTTACTTTGGCATTGCTGTATCTCGAGTTCATTCTTTTTTAATTTTTTACATTGCTCTTTAATTTAAATAAGTAATCTTTATTATTACCGTACATGTTTTGAATATGATATATAGATCGGTATATCAACGTAATAAAATAACAATAATTTCACCAATTTAAGTATGAATGTTTAACGATAGATATTGAGGTTTGAATATTGATATTAGAATTTGTAACTGATTTTCTCATATTGATCGCAACTTTTTAATTTTTTTTATTACATATCTTTATATCTGAGCCATTTTATTTAAAATCAAATCAAATTTGAAATTAAGTACAGAATGTAATAATTTAGATATGTTGCAGAAGCTTGAAGAAATATTTACTTCAAATTAGCACCACCATTATTATCAGCATATTTTTTAATGAGCATTTAAACATGGATGGCTCATAATGAGGAACTAGGTCATTATATAATATATCAAACAACAACGAAATAATATTTATCCAAGAGATTAAAGAATGGAGCTGATATAACTTCAATAATTGTGATAATAATTCCTTCGCTTCCCATCTTGTCGACAAATCTTCAAACTTCTAGAACAAATAAGTAATGGTGCGTAAGTGTTCTTTCTTTTATCTATTTACCTTCTCCTTCCCTTTTACCAAGTTTCTTAATAATACAGCTCGCAAGACTCAGAGAACCCGTAGTAGTTCTTAAGTTAACCGGCACACGCGTACAAATATATGCGTACGTGCCTCGCTAGTAGTCCACCAGCGGCAGTTTTTCCTCGGTAAAGACCGGCGGCAGTCGACATCTGCCTCGCATAATTGTTTTCTAGTTTTTCCTTCTGATTAGAAGGAGATACAGAGAGAAGGCATCCGCAGTCTGCAACCTTCTGCAGTGAACGATGAACGAAAAAGAAGGACATCGGCGCATCATACGCGCCGAGAGCGGCGTAAGAACTCCAGCGCTGTAAAATTCGACTTGTTGACCAGTGTCCGGTAATGACAGGTAAGCTAGCAAAAATTTGAGAATTTCAAAAAATATTCACATAGAAAAGGTTGTACGTGTCAGATCAGTTTTCCTAACTCAGTTTGTTCATCGATAAAACGTTCCTAACATTCCTAAATTTCTTTTGCCCCTTTCTCAGATAAATATTATTCAGAAAAGTAAAATCAAATCTTTTATTTCAAATAAAAATATAATAATCGATGAGATTCTTTCTTACGTCAAGCATAGAACTACGTATTAATCGGTACGGAATAAACGTGGGATTTGTTTCGATAAATTTACGCGACTCAATCGCAATTAAAGAATCAAGAAAGAATGTCATTTTCTCAGATGTTTATTTATCGTTTCCGCAAAGAAACATCGCGCAATAACATGCGTCATATGATTTATTTTCTTCGGGCTTACTAAAAACATGACGGGAATTACGAGCTGAAATTATGCGCAATATTAAGAATTTATTTTTAATTTAACGCTTGAACGTTTTATAATGTCATTTTTGAGTGTAAAAATGATCTTGCACGCTCTGTATAATTTTTTTTCTACGTACATGCGAAAATACGCGGATGCTCCCAAGCGTGCAGAGCATAATTATATAAAATTATATATTGTAATGAAAAGAGAGACATTTTTTTAAATTTGCCCTACAGAAACAATATAATTTCTTTTTAAATGTTGCATTAAAAATAATAGCACCTCGCTCGTCATCGTTAAATAATTAGTTGCCATTTAACACAATAATTAGGAAGAAAATAGACAGAAAATATTGATATTTATTTATTTTTGTTATAAACATCCATCGCTGTTTATACTTATTCAAGAAAATATTTGGCGATTGCATCTGTAGAACCAAAATTTATAGACCCGTATTCAAAACGTGCTAACAACGATGTTAGAGCGCTATTACATTACGTATATGTCGTGTACCATAGAATTTCAGAGACAAAAGCGCGCATTTATCGATAGAAGCGTATTCTGAATACGAACTATAATGTTTAATTGTGATTCGCATCCAAATATCCTCTCCTAATTTATACTCGTAAATAGTTTCTTAGACAAAATAAAATTATGTAATACAATTTGCAAAGGTCAAAGTCTAGACAAAAATGTTGATACTATATGTTATCACTTTCTTTTCGCGAACCTTTGCCTGGATTCGTTAGCAGCTTACGCGAGCTAGAAAGTTTTGTTGTAGAAAGTTCAGGGACGTATTCTAAAAAGAATACATCGGGAAAGGATATCATATACGGGCTGTAGCTCAAAAGGGAAATGATGCGGTTCGAACGCTTGAGTCAGCGTACTTCCCCAATTCCGTTGTTGCAGTCAAATAATGGTGGTATCTGTCGCGCGCGGCGTGAATTTAAAGACACTACCTTTCTTTCTTCTTACATAATCGCGGTCGGCTCTTCTGTAAACAACATATAAGTACGTGATTTTCTAAGATCAAGATAGACGTACGTGTTATAAGTTTGCGATATCAAAAAACAAGACAAATCCATATAATATCATATTATCATTCAACGTTATAAATGTCTTGAATTTGTTCGCGTACGCATTTACGCGGGGTGCATTTACGGCACATGCTTCTTGTCTAACAATAAATTTAATATTCGCGCTTGATTATTCGAAAATTTTATTACCATTGTCGTGCTCTCTAAATTTTCTGGAATGAACTCCTTTGGAGTGAATTTTCACTCTTTTGGAGTGAATCTCACTCCAGAAAATTTAGAGTGTCAGAAATTATTAAATATTATTATTGTTATGTAACATTGAATGGAATTAATCGAGTAGAATGTAATTTGCTCATATAGACAAGGTATAAAGATTCAAGGCAAATATACGAGCGGATACACGTGCGATAGTACAATTATCTTTTTTCCCCCTTCATACATTTCTAATGATTTGTGATCTAACTCCTTGCGCAAAAAAATTCCTCAGTTAATGTTTGATCAACTTTAAAATTATTTGTTAAACATTGATTATGTGTCAAATAATGAAGCATCATTTCCGGCTGCTTTGACACAGCTATATTTTTCGAAAAGCCACCAGTCATGATAGATAAATATTCAGGAAACACACGCCCCAAACATGACAAGATATACGTATAAATTCGTACGTTAAATATTTGTGACTTTGGGTATTCATTATACGGCTACGCAAATCAATGAGTTTTTTATGCTACATAAATTATTAATGCATCAATATACGAATTTACGTTAATTTAGGCATACTTAGGGCATGTATCAATTTTCCATATACATATATATTCTGGTAAAGGGATAAATTCATAAAGTATTAAATTAGAGACTCTATACATATTTATGCACATGTTGAGTCTTTTTGTAAAGTTACCTTATTAGATTCCTATCGTTTAAATTTTGTTAAAAGACGCGATTTCGAATTAAAGATATATTCTGTTAACGTACATCTTAATCAAGAGTTAATTGCTCATATTTACGAAGATCCTGAAAAATTTCGTAACAGGTTAAAAAAGCAAAGATCATTTTTATCATGTATTCTTAATTGGGTTTATTTCTAAGAAAAATCTCGGAAAAAAACTGACTTTAGGGATTAAGATCTTGGTAACTGTTAAGATACTTCGCAACGCTACGTCAATTCCATTGAGCAAACAAAGTACCGCTAATTATTTACACATTTTCTATCGTTATCGTAGGTATTCCCCAGATAATCAGGGCATTGACGTCGATCGAGGTCTACCTATCTCAGGTAGAGGTCGTTCGCACATAAAAAAAAGTATTCACCTTTACTCCTAATTAATTATCTGTCATTATCTTATCTTAATATCATTGTAATGCATAATGATGTTAAACTGATAGAAAATTCCATACAAAGATATTTTATCGCATCTATTGAGAAGCTTCTCCTTTATAGAAACACATTTACACGTGATTCTTCGATGTGTTCACGATCGATCTCTCATTCCTCGAAAGCGTTGAAGCGTTAATAATTTCTGAATTATAAGGAAATGAAAAGATTGTTTTTAGCTCATATGAAATAATTTGAATATTAATTATAAATATTAAATTTTTAATTTAAATATTTATTATAAAGATTGCGAAATTGCTAAGATCTGCTCCAAATTTTCCAAGAAATCTAATTCTGGAAACATGAAATATTTTACGAGAATAATGCGTCATTTTTCATTTATTACTACATACAAATCTAACGCACTAATGTTTAAAAAGATAATTATTTCAAAAAAGTTTTATTAGTGCTTATAATCGATTTCGCTAATGTATATCAGCTAGATTTAAACAATTCGTAAGAATAGGAGTGGAAGAAAGAGGATCGTGTGTTTATTTGGGCTGTCATTCGAAAATAGATCGGCGGGTAATGAACGCCCTATTGTCTTTGAACCTAACGCGTAGTCTCTCTATAATAATGGGAAAACCCATGTGGAATCTTTGTGGCGAGGAGCCTCTTTTGCACGTATCGAGGCCACACATTTGGTCGGCGGTCGAATCGATTTCCCGGTATACGTATACTGTAAACGACCGCGGAACGTTTCCCGCCGTGTGCACCGTCGCGAGGTCTTTTCGGATAGGAAATGCCGCTGGAATTTCCGGTGAGTTCGCCGCGGCGCTCTTAATTCTCGGGAGGAGACGCGAAGAAAGTAGTCTGCCACACGTGGCGGCAAGGACGCCGGCAGGAAAGTCGGCATCGATCGGCGTGTGATAAATCACACGCGTAGTGCGAGCCCGTCCCATCCATGGGAGAAATATCCGGAAATTTGCGCGATAAAGGTATCGTACATCGGCGCGTGCGTTCCGCAAAATAGAAATCCTAGAGTTAACTTAATTTCTCTTTTTATCATCGGCATCATGGTTACAAGATTTATAGCGTTTTCGATTTGTTGACTCGATCCGACTCCGAGTCAAAATAGTTTGTTCTTTTTAGCGTTTCTTGTACACTTTAACTATTTTTTTATACAGCTAAAAAGAACAGACCATCAACTCGGAGTCGGATCGAGTCAACAAATCGAAAACGCTATTAATAATGACATAAATCAATTAGTAATATAATTATTTACTAACGGCAACATTCGCTATTATGTCGTCATGTAATTCTTTCAATTGTTATTTGTTCGAGCAATTTTTTTCGGAGTTTCTTACTCGTAGTATTACTCGATGGCAAGTAGTGTATATGCCTTTCGTGGCTGCCGACTTTATATTCTCGTCTCGTTGTTATCATTGTTATGTCTTGGGAACAATTCATCTTTGGAAATAGGTATATATCAGTTCTCTCGGTTCTGAAAAATGATTAATACGATTCAATGTTTCCTTTTAAAGTTGAAAAAACAGTGAGTTTCGGTGTTGACCCGGTCGAAGATACGTGAAATTAAGATACAAAAATTCCGTTCTAAACATATGTTGTTTTGGGAACGAAGAAAAAAATTCGATCGAGATAATATGAAATTGCTTTATACACTTTATACCTGATAACTTATAATTTAATTTGTAAGATAACGCCTGTACACGCGTCTCGACTTAAAGCGTTACAAACTCGCGACGGTAAGATCACGATAGTAAAAAGTGATTTCTCAAATCTAGAGAGAGAGAGAGAGAGAGAGAGAGAGAGAGAGAGAGAGAGAGAGAGAGAGGAGAAGGTGGATGTCGTTTATATATTTTTTTATCGAAAGCCTTGTAAGAGCTTGCACTGATTCTCTTGCGTGTATGTCCTTTTAATGAAAAATCCCTGATTAATCTCGTGCGCATTTCGCCGAAATCGCGCATAATTTACGTATAAATGAGAATTACGAAGGAAAAGAGTATCCAAATACAGAACAAAAAGTCATCATGATATATCAAATGGCGTCAATATAACCAAAAAATGTTTATTTTGTTGAACTTATAAAAGTTCAACACAGTGTCACGATATAGTGCACGATCTCACGAACGCATGACGAATAATCATATGATCGAAAAGTTATTTTATTTTTCGGTCATGTCTGTGACACTGTGATCTTAATGTTGTTCAATGCTAGGGCGATAATGCGATATAAATACGCGGGAAACATTACGTAATGCACCATCAGCATATCGAGGATGAACCTTTCGACATGTGTTTCGCATTTTCGAAAGATATGTGATAGGAGTATTTATAACTCTGAGTTTCGGGTCATTTTTTGATAGTCCATTATTATCCGTTTCGTCCGAACTGTAATTTTCCAGTTAAATCAGAAGAGGAAATTAAAAAAAGGGTATTTTTATCTTCTTATCTCGTTTTTGCAAATTGTGATGATCGATGGTTATAGTAGATTTCAAAAGTTCTTTCAGGTTATCCATAAAATCGCGGTGAAATAGAGAGAGAGAGAGAGAGAGAGAGAGACAACTTTTCTGCATAGAAAAATAACAATTGTATTAACAGCATTAACTAACAGCAGTTTTATTAAAAATAATCTTGTTATTCAATATTAATAAGTTTATTTTTAAATAGATTGTTTACTAATACTTTTAATACAATTTTATTTCTGTTAAGCTTCAACGCAACTTGTTTCGTGTCTGAAATATCTTCTATTAGCATTCTCTACAATTTTCTTTCTCCAATTATTAATTATACGGCGATTTATAGCTCGAGATCTTATAGCTAATCTTGAATTTCATTCAGCTTCAAATTCCATTAAGCTAATAACGATCATAAAACATTTCGAAATTATATTTAAAACGGTCTTGTTGTTACATATAAGATCGGGCTATATAAATACCGATCTTAAAATATGATTAATCCGAAGAAAAGCCAGCGCATGGACGTGCTGTTTCTTCCGCGTTTCCCGCGAATTGTAAAGCGGGACGTTCCGTCGTGTCAGATTTTCCCTCGCGGTCCGTTTTATCTGTGGTAAAAACCTATGTCGTAAAAGACACATAAGAAATTCACGCAACCGCAGAGAAGGCAAACACTCAGTCAGTGGATATTCCCTTTAAATACCTGAGTGTTGACACTTATCTGACTTTATCCAATCTGCGATTGTAAGCACCTCGTAAACTGAAAGAGTTAATCAAAGATCGCATTTTTTTCTCTCTTCAAAGACAAATATTTAAAAAATAGTATTATCGTCAACGTTAATTGTCGATATGACATTAACGTTAGTGTTATTACGATAATAGGATTAAGTATATCGGAAAATGTCGTAAAAGTCCCGTAAAATTTAAATTTTATATTATAAAAACTTGATACGTTCCATACGGTATATACGCGAAATATCGTCGCGCAAATATCGAGACGATGCGTTTTCTCCGTTGCTCTTCGTGGCGGCCGAAGCCGCCTTATCTATAGAATGAGAGTCGTTCGTATCGGCATACGCAGCTGGCCCTGTGTTGAGAAGGGGGAGCGGGTTTTTCCCGCTCCCCCCACTCCGTAGTCAGGAATTACCGCCATAAGTTGCGCTCGGGAACGTCACCCGAGTGCCTCCTCCGAGTGTTATCATTTTATCCTTCTCGTTCGCCGAATGTTAAACAAGGATAAAATGATGCGCGCGGATGACGCTTCCGAACGCAGCCGAACGCCGCTTCGCGCGAGCGTCGTTAAACGACCATTCTTCTCACGCGTGCGCGTCCGAGCGCGGTTCTAATCAAGTGTCTAGATCGAGTAAATAAAGGTGCAATCTGGAGCCCCTCTTCCTCGCCGTGTCAAAAAATCAATTCATTTTATTGGTAAAAGTCTTTATACGCAAATCGGTAGCGATAGGGCTGACGCAGGAAAATTATCGTTAATGTTATCCAAGAACGTGAATCGTAGTCGTAGGTCAACGCAATAATAATTTTACGTAAACGTATGTCGTATATTATACGTCAATCGTCTCTGACGCCACAATGATACGACACACGTTTACATAAAATTATTATGCGTTGACCCACGACTACGATTTACGTTTACGTACTCTATCGAAAATTGTTTATTACCGAGTTAGGACCTATCCAGACAAATTTGCATAGCTGCATAATCATGTACATAAAGAAAATTATCGATCGTATTCGTTTTTATATATAATAGAAATACTATTGGATAAATTTCTTTATGCATTATCTATGATTATCAGTCATACGCAAGTCAATTGTCTGAATAGGACTTTACGATCATCTATCTGTTAATCGTTAATTAATTGGTCCACAGTTTATGGCACTAGATTTTCTATCTTTTGCATTTAAAATAAAAAATATAGATTATATATATATAATTAGACATCGGAGGATAAAAGAGAAGAGATCCAGTTGCAAAAAGCTCCACGCACATCCCTGCATTCTTACGCTGCGCGTGCGCAACAGGCGCCGCCTGTTTGGCAACAACGCGAGTCGCGAGTGTCGCGGAGTCTCTCTCCTCTCTCTTTCTGATCAGTTCGTTCTGAGATTACGAGGCAAAAGGGTTCGCTCGCGTTCGCGCGGTCACGAAGCGCGTCGAATCGAACGACAAAGCGAACGCTTTCCATCTGTTCCCCTGACGACGATAGAAAAAAAAAAAGGAATCCCGACTCAAAGTCGAAAACGTTTTGTGGCGCGGTGAAAGGTGTGAAACGAAGTAGAACGAGAGATAGAGAAAGTCGGACGTACGAGAGTGCGCGAGCGAGCATTGGTATTCAAGGGAGCGAGAGAGAGAGAAAAAGAGAGGGAGCGAGAGATAAAAACGACCGACGTGGGGGGCAGAGGGGAGCAGACCAAAGTGCGGGGCACAGCGCACAGCTGTTCCGTGGAAGGAAGAGGAGGCGGCGCGGAGGGGGAGGTGTCGAATATACGCGTCGACGTGAGCGAACGAACGGAAGAGGACGTCGGGGACTCGACCGGTGTACGGAAGTCGAACGAGCGCGTTATCGAGAATCGAGAATACGTCGCGCGCGCAGTACGAAGGTCACGCGAGAAAGCTGTGGAGGTCGCGTAACGAGAGATCTGCACGGGCGAACGAGAACCGTCGTGGGAATTTCAGCTCCTACCGCACGCGAGGCGACCGTGCAGAGGGAGAGGTGCGAACGACGAGAGAAGAGGCGAGGATACACTTATAAACGGCGGCCACCCATTAGAATCCCGTGCCATTCGGCGGCGTCGCGTCGCGTCGCGCTCCTTTCGACTCGTCGTCTTCCCGTCGTTCCGCGATTACCGTGCGCGTCTGTCACCGATTCGGCGGGCTGCAGGTGTCCGACAACGAAAAGATCTAACAACCGAAGAGGGGGGAAGAGGGGAGAAGTTATATAGTTGACGTTTCCTCGCGAGAAAGCGGTGTCGCGAGCGAAAGCAGGAGAGACGAGTCTCCGCTTCTTGAAGGCACGACTCGAGTGGGGAAAAAAAACCGGAGAAAAAAAAACCATGTGGCGTCCAACGAGTAGAGGAACCCAAATGGAGGAACGTGTTACAGAGGACGATAAGGAGCAGCGACGGAGGAAGTGCGACAACAACGACGACGACGACAAGCGCAAATACGACGAGGACGAGGTGGGCAACATCGACTCCGGATTCCTGTCGGGCGGCAACCTGCAGTTCAGCGGCGAGATCAGCGGCGACTCGGGGTTGCTGCATTCGCGGGAGGAGGGACGGTGGGGCGAGGGGGAGGAGGGGGTGGAGCAGGGGAAGCCGACCGTGGCGCCCAAGGCGAGGACACCGGCATCATCGTCATCATCGGCAGCGTCGGCGACGATTGTCCATGAGGAGCCAATGAAGGCGCTCGACAGCGGCGTGGACCTCGACCTCACCGAGACCCTGAGCCAGCTCAGCCTGAAACAGGTCAGCCTGAACCCGCTCGCCGGCGAGATCCAGGCCGCCGAGCCGACGACCCCCAAGCTGTTGCCCGTGAGCGCGAATCTTACGCGGGACAACGAGAACGATACGTTAGAGCGGCATTGCCCGGGGGACGACAACGTTATAAACTATGGGACGAGCAACGAGGAACTCTGGCAGCTGTACTACACGCAGGACGACGACGGTGACACGTGAGTGCAATTATCGCTTGAGTTTTCATTTATTTCGTTTTTTTATTAACCCTTCGACGCCCTGGGACGCGTTCCAGATTTCCCCCTTGGATTCATCTTATATCCTTGTTGTTCACTGAATACAATAAACAAGGATAAAATGAACCCGAGTGGAAAATCAGGGAATGCAGCCCTGGAGAGCGGACGTGTGTGGGTGACGTGTCGGCTGGCATTGTTTTTTCTTCGACGAAATCAGCTGACCGTATTCTTACGCATCTAAGAATCTGGATGAATTGTCCTGAATTTCTTGTATGTCAGAATTAAATTCGAAAGCTATAATATCGAAGTGATGCTATGAAGTTTATATATGTACATACATTTGAATAATCAAAACAACATAAAGTGTCCCTTTTTGTTTCATTAAATCGTTGACTTATTCGTTAGTCGACTCCTCGTCTGTACGCGTCTCTTCGTTTTATATTTATCGCCGACTTCATAAGTCGAGAAGATCCGTTAGCCCGCAATCCTGTTAACGTCCTATTGCGGCCAGAGCGATCGCGCAGCTGACGGGTCCAGGGTCGTACGTTATGCTGCACGCTATGCTAATACGCGGACGGCGGGAATACCGCGGGAAATAATAATTAACAGAAGTAAATAACACTCGAAAAGCGAATTGTAGTTATCTTATAAGCGATGACGAATAAATTTCAATTTCATTGGTATGAATTTCAACATTTGAAATTTTATATCTCTCAATTGCTCATCGATGAATCGAGTTGAGTAAGCAATCTCTCGCGTCTTTATCTACTGTTTTTTTCCACTTTATTCTTTAACGAATGTAGTATACATATATATATATATATATATATATATATATGTATCAATTGAACGCGTGTCATCGTACGTAACGTCGTTGGCGTAAATGGAATGGCCTATACGTCTGACGTGCGCTAGGGTGACTCTCGCTCGGGCTCGTTGACCGTTTCAATGAAACGAGTTTCATTCTTCGATAAGAATCACCTTTCGGAAATTCAGATGAGCAACAACAATATGATAAATTGCACAGTGACGTGCGTCTCATAAAAAACGGAAATGCGGCACTTGCGGCGAGACATCGAGAAAATATTTTGTGCCGAAGACAAAGAAAAAAATCCAGGAATTAAACATTAGCGAATAAATATTCTGGTGGTAAGAATTAATAAATAATACTACACATAAGTGCCATCAAGTTGTCTCAAGTCTGCCTCTTCTTACGTAACGTATTTTTTTTTTTTACCTGTACAGGCAACTGCACATCGCGATCGTACAGGGCTTCGTGGAGGCTGCGCTCTATTTGATAAAGATGGTCCCTTACCCGTGCCTACTGGACACCATGAACAACGACTGGCAGTCGCCCCTGCACCTGGCAGTGCTGACGCGCCAGCCGTGGATCGTCAGACGACTGATCCTGGCGGGTGCGGATCCATCCCTGAGGAATTTCCGTGGAAACACGGCACTTCACCTGGCCTGCATGAGCGGGGACCTCGCTTGCGCCAAGGCCCTCACGGACCCGCTGTCCGTGACGGAGAGTAACAAGCTGATACCCGGACAGACAGTGCCCGCTTTACCTCAGAATTTGGAGCAACGTAATTATAGCGGTAAATATTCAATTAACTTCAGTTTTTCGCTTGTTTTTAGAAAGGAACGATCGAAATGTTATAATTTGCGGTGAGAAAATAATAGAAACTAGGAACGAGATTAGGCAAAATTGGAAAGGACTTATCAGAGCGAAATGACGTAAAAAGTACTAAGTAAATGCAACGAGGAATCATTGGTATTGCATACCAATCGCGATTTTTCCTGCTGTCACGATTATCTATTTGGAAACTCGCAACATAATAATTGTCGCTAATTGCCGCAGCGCGAGAAAAGATGATCCACGGCCGTGACGGTGGACACAAAGTATGCCGAGGTGGCAGCGGAAAATCCCTGCTTTTACCGCGCGGAATAAATCATATTATAAGACTCGCGTAGCGATGATATTACGATGGACACGTGGAATTGCGCGAGTTTCCTATGATTTCATCGAGAGAGTCATCTGTTCTTTACGCTCTACGTTTGGAAGTTCCATCTCGGAAACGTTGAAAATACATTCCTTCTGAAAAAAAAAGGAATATGTAAATTCTACTGAGCTAATTTGAATTTGAAAAATTTCACAATTATATACTGGGTGTCCTGGCGTCGCATGTTACAATGATATAAATTTTATAAAATTGATTGTCCCTCCTTACAATATTGAGACGCAAATCATTATTTTAATTATTATAAAAAATTAAAAACCTTCCGCGTAATAAACGACAAAGGACCGTAAAACTATTATTTTTTGTTGCATTTAAAGTGGGTTTGGTAGAAGCGTAAAAGTTAATTACAAAAAAACCAGTCAACATTGAAAATCGAAAAATGATTACGAAAAAATAATATGTTTTCGTATAATAAGCAATGTTTGTCGAATAATTTGTCAACAAATACCGACCTTGTCAAATCGGAGCACCCAGTATAGTCGGCTGATTATGAGTTATCAATGTCTTCGTGTATACTTGTTGCTACTGCGACTGGTGAAGGTGGAGGGGGGACATGGACTACGTGATTTGCATATCTGGCGTGACGTCTTCTGCGTCAAATTTTATACGTGAAATTTATTGACTGATTAAATCTTAAAGCTCCAAGCTGCTTTCAATGAGCACGTTTGCTCGCGATGCTTGACGATAATAATGCGGTCACTTACGATCGATAACGGCGCGTACTCGTACGCGGGGAATTCCATGACGAAAATTCGCTTTCAGTTCAGATAAACAATACCTCGACCTCGATTAAAAGCTACACGATAAAGCCACAACTCGGCGTACTTCGTCAAAACGTATTGCATTTTGTTACGCTATATAATTACGAAAATAACTAAAGATACTCGATAGTCAGATGAAAAAGAATTAGTAAGGATTGGAAAGTATAGAAGTATAAATTTTTTTCTAGGGCTTTACGTTCGCCTTCTCTTAAAAAAAATTAGTGCTTTTTATCTATAATGTGCAAGTTTACAAAATTTAAATAAAAATTAACTTAAAACTTCTTAAATTAAATTTTATTATAAAATTATTATGCCTAAATTTAAGGTGAAAAGCATGTTTTTCCATTGATATCATAATATTATTTAAATATTGTTAATAATATTAATATTTATAATAATTTATAATGTAATTGCTTTTAGTTAAAAGATTTTGATATTTATATGAGGGAATCCGAGGAGATATTGAAGAATGCTCCCCTCCTATATATCGTTGTTCTTTTTCCAAAAACTGAAAACTGCGATAAAGCACAGAGAGGCAGATAGAAAAAAAAAACGAAAAAGAGAGAAAGAGAAAATCACTCTGGTTGGCGGCGGTCGTTCATCGCGAAATGATTCTGAATTTTTTAAAGTCTTGGAAATCCCGCGTGTAGCGTCATCGGCGTGTATTCCGCTGCAAATTCACGCGACGCGTGTAACGCACGCACGTCTGCTGAGCCGATCGTATCGTAAGCGATCGTTCCGGATCATGATTAATTAACCGAAACCGCGAATGAGGTTGCGGACCTACCCATGTCTGCGCGAACGTCAGATAACTCGCACGCGCGACATTCGTCCTAGACTTGCGATTAAGGATCGATGAGTAATAGATTATGAGCTTCTCGGTACGGATTCCATGGCCGAGGAATAACTGATTCACTCGAAATAATCGCGTTCCAAAGTCCACTTATATTATTTTCTTTGAAAACAAATTGAACGATCAAAATTGAATAATCGCTTGCGGTGTGCCTGGCGATAATTGAGAAAATAAGAGGCTGACAATAAACGCGATCGAATTTCGCGATAACGATCGCGCGGACTGGAATTAGATAAAACTGTTTACGAGGAGGTAATTTCGATTGTGCGATTTGTAATTTATTGAGGATATAACGGGAGCTGTCGCTTCTCTCGGCAATCGACGGAGGAAAGAAATATGATTCCGCCGACGAGAGTGGGCACCGCGTGCGAGGTGTGCCTGGCGAACGGGAGCGGAATGCTTCACGTGTACGTACGATGGAATTCGGCGTGCAGGCTTCGTGCTTGCGTGCGCGCGCTCGTTACATTACGCGGCGCGGCGCGTCGCGACGCCACGCGCGAGACGTGGGGCGGACGCGCACGCGGCCAGATGTTTTCGATATTTAAAAATACCTGCAGAACTATTTGCGTGCCGCGCGATATTCTCGCCTTGCCTCGCCTCGCCTCGCCCCGCCACACCTTGGCTGAGCTCGCGCGGTCGGGAAACCCCACAGCGGCGTCGACGTTGGTGGCTTCCACGTCGAACTTTCACCCTTAAAAAATTGATCCTCTTTCATGCCTGGCCCTAATGACGCCACAGGAGCCTCGCGTCCCTTGCCCCAGATTTCTAGTAAATCGCGGAGCGATTCGATGAGGTCTTTCCTATCGCGTTGTAGTAACGTGTATCGTCTGGACATCTGAAAACGCGACATCCTGAGATCTGAGCTGAGAAACCTCGCCGACGCTTTAACTCTTTCAATGTCGCCGCAATCGACCGTACGCGGTCTTCTTGCACGGTAAAAACAGAAGCTACGGTACACCTTTACGTGTGTGTATATATACGACTGTACTTCTGAATGTTGCAACCTACTGGGTTTATTTCTGTCATCGGAAGCGAGAGCTACAATATCGACATAGTGCGATGCACGTATAGTTATGCCATATTTAATTCCGCCAATGCGACGGGTAATGCGGTGCAGTTAATTTTAGCAGTTACTTTTGATCGGCGCGAGCCTAGTTTGGACCGTGGGACTCCAGCCAAACCTCCGACGACAATGATTCACTCGCGTCTTCCTAGTTCTATCTATATCTCATCGCGAGTCGCGCGAGACATGTGACTCGGCCGTATCATTTCGACGTATCTACGCGCTCCTCCGTCCCTGGCTCGCATCAGGAGGGATGCAACCGTGAAGCATTCAAAGAAATAAATCTTGATTGATTGAAGAAATGACTTTCTGTTGAGACGTAGAATAGAGGAATGGATAGACGTAGAGTTATTTTGACTGCTAATCATGCTTAATATTAGATTCTCTGATCAATTGATTTTTCGATTCAGAGTTATTTGTGAGGGATTTTCATTTTCAAAATTTGAGTAAGAAAAATCGTTGATTGTTTGTTGCATTTGTGTGACACGGTTGTTTTTCTTTTTGTTACAGGCGAGATGTGCATGCACGTGGCTGCTGTCAATGGACACGTGGATCTGGTGCGACTTCTGTTGCGTTCAGGCGCCGATCTCAAGGCGAAGGAGGGCCTGGCGGGATACACGGCGCTTCATCTCGCGGTGGAGCACGAGGATTGGCCGTTGTTTGATTTCCTATTGCCAGAATGCCAGCGCGCGTCGTGTCTAAACGAGGAAACGTACAGCGGTAGAACGGCCTATCAGTTGACCCTGGATGCCAACAGCAAATTCGCCAAGAAGGCACGCAGGGAGCTGAAGCGATACGGCGCGATATTGGAACCACTACCGGAATCGGATTCCGACAGCAGTTCCGAGAACAGCGAAGACGAGGAGACGATGAAGACATCGTGGACGGATAACTTGTCCGCTATCAATACGCAAAACGCGGTCGGAATGACAGTAATAGTGACTCAGTAATTTAAAGTATCCCTCGATATCTAATTTATCGATTAATTTGGTTAGATAACTGTCTGAATAATGTGAATAAGGAGATAAAAAAATACTGTGCATATTGTGTGCATATGCATGCGGAAAACGTATCTCGATTGACATCGACGTGTCTGTGACGTCATTTTAATCTATCAGCCGAATTGATACAATCGGAGACATTACATTGAATAAAATTTGTCAGACAAGAGAGATCTAGATTATAGATATCTCATATTTTCGATTCTTGTGCAATAAGTTTAACTTGAGCTTTAACGTTAACAAAATTATCTTTATTAATGAGAATTAAATTTCAACAAGTAATTCTTTATCTGGAAAGAATAATTGGCTTTATTCGATTAAATAAAAATTGTATTTCGTGGAAATTTACTTGCGGCTTGAATTTGATAACGCTGGACGATATCGTGTTAATATTATTGAATGCAATTAAGGCACATAATTATTTTTATTTTCAAAATTGTTAAAATTTATAACAAAATTTATTATAATTTTTTATTATAACAAAATTTATAACAAAAATTTTACGATGCAAGTTCGATGTATATAATGCACGAATAAAGAGTCAATGTTTAGCTTTGAAGCTCCTGACGTCATCTTAATCTGCTGGATTAAGGTCTACAGTAAAAGAAAATGAAAGAATTATCAGTTAAGTATAGATAAGGAGTAGAATTTCTCGAGATTAGTTTCAATGTATATTATATCTAATAGGCGATCATAGAGACTACGTCTCTTGAGTCGACGAGTATTACTATTGTAATACAATTATAGACTGCGTATGCTTTTCGAATCGATACCGGCAGCAATGTGAGGGATGAGAGGAGACGCGTGGGAATCGAGGATCTCAGAAACGAACTTATACGCGATTAACGAAACATTCAATTACGAACGAGGCGACGACGCGTGGACGCGGGTTGTCTTAACGGTCGTTCGTTTTTTCCCCCTTCCCCTAGTAATTTTTCGCAGTGGATGGGCGTGCAGCATCCCGAAGTGTGTTGTTCCAAATAAGGCTGTACAAATGATACAAAGGACAAATGTATATTTTAACGTCAGTGTTCTTACATTTTTATGTTTGTCAGAGAGAGAGTCTGTGAGCGAGATGCAATAGCACCGGAATGTGTGACTACGACGCGAAAGTGGAATATTTGCGCTTATCGAATGCGATACTTTATGATGTAAATAGAAGAGTACTGTTCAGTTCGGCGATACGAATACTCGTGAAGAAAGGTCTTATTATAGGTCTTAAGTCGTAGGGTAAAACCGTAATCGATGCGCAGAAACAGAATGCATATTAGAACGGAGATAAATAATTAAATTCACATTCTTACGCGCGCCTATGAGCGGCGTGCAATGTATATATAATGTATTTATATGTCAGCGTATCGAAGAAGAAGGATCCAGAGCGATACGATGTTTATCAACGATGAACATTAACCGGATCAGTGTTCATTGTAATAGCATACAATTGCTTCCATCGACGTACTCCTCATTTCTTCGTGTACATAAACATTTTCCGTTAGAGTCATAAGTATATCACTGTCGCGGTATATATTAATAATAATAACGACGAGATGGCGATATCATTATTGTTATATTCGTATAAAAAAAGCTATAATTATTTTTAATAAAAAAACATGTTATAAAAAATCTAAAATCTTCTTTATCTTTTTCTGTAACAGATATCGGTCTCTCTGGAAAGAGAAAGAACATTTTGTTCTTCACTTTACCTCGTTTTTGGGGGGG